GATACCATGTGAAAGTTTGAGAATGGATCAGATTTGTGGTGAAACCCGCAAAGGGCTCTTTGCCTCAAGGGCTGGTATATTAACTGCGAGTTAACTCACCTCTGTACAATCAGTTTAATTACAACAGATATAAACAGAATCAAAGCTAACTACCAATCAGAAAGCAACACGTGTTATGTACAGTATTAATTGAAACGAACTAAACACTGAGTAGAATGCCATCGTTTCTTCACCAGCTCCTCAACTGCTTCTGGTTAAAACGTCGCCGTACTACAAGCTCTTCAGTGTTCATCAGACAGCGTCATCCCCTGCAGTCATTCCCAGGAGCATCACTTTCTCTAATAATATAAGACTGAATTTTTTACCTCGATCAATCTTTCTATACCTCAATCGAATAAGAAACGATCAAGAGATTAGGTCATGTTTAATACATGCATTTTAAACACGTAAGCATCTTCAGGTATATAAAGTTGGAAAATTGTATATTATTATTGTGGGTACATATATGTATAAATTAATACATAAATACGTAAGAATATTGGGCACTAAAGGTAAGATAAAGAAAGGAGAAGGATAGAGATAAGATCCCTCGAAGCAAAAAAAAAAAAATTGTTAAAGGGAGAGAGGAAAAAGAATGTCAACTTTACGCTAAAGAAGAATATGATTTCATCAATTTTGTTTTTGCGAGTACGGGTCCTGGCATCCCATACATTTGCGTACATTTTCTGCCATTTGGCCACATTTATCTTTTCTTTTTCCTTTTCCACATTGGTTTAGGGTTCCCTCGTGATGGCTACCTAGAGCCACTTCCATAGAATGATACGCCATGCAGACACAAGGAATCATAACATCATCCTCTCCCACACTCCCAATATCCAAAAGTGGATGCATTGCATGGAATATATATATATATATATATATATATATATAATAGAAAAGAAAAGGAATATAATAGATAGATCACTAGTGATAGATCTGTGGTGTTGTTCTATGATGAGAATGATTTTGTGTATTTGTGTATGGATAGCTATGGAGCAAAACTTTTTTTCCCCCCTATTTTCCAGTGCCCTGTTTTTTTATTAGGTTTTGAGAGTAGGTCTCTTTGGTCAAATCTTGTAGGACAATCACTACTTAAGGGTAAAGATACCATCTTTTGCGTGCCCACCAATCAAGGTAAGATGTGACGTTCTGGACCGGACATGAGCATTGAATCGCTTCTTGAAATAGAGGTTGTGTTTAGCTTATCGGGCTAGAATATGTATATCGATATGTCACCCCCGATCTGCCCTTGTTTTCTGTACCAGATAATGCGTGTGTCAAGCTACAAGAGTTTTGTCGAGGTCACATCTAGCTAATACCAGCCAAACAACTCAAATAATTATCCTCAAAACTCCATAAATAAAGTTGGAACTTGTCCCATACATGCTCTCCATTATTCATTTGGTCGGAATGTAAATTACAACCTATAATTTTATGCATACAATAGTGATGATCACTATGCATCCGTCTCGCGATCATCATTATGAGCTATTGGTTCCTGTCAGGATAATGACGTCATTCGTAACTTGTATTACACATATGATGGACAAATAAAAACAAGAGTTTGCACAAAAACAATACAGTATTTGCTTTGATTTGAAGAGTTTAGGGATATAGGTGGGGGTTAGGGTTTAGAATTTAAAGTTTATGAATTAGATTAATGTATGAATTAGTTGTAATCTTATGTTGTATCGTCATATTAGATTAATATTATCTTCACAATTCAATTCGATCTCTTGAATTAATTTTAGAGTTTGATAAATAATATACATTCATTTTTGTGAGTGCATTGTATAAATCATCATATACCTATGAGAAAAGTCGTATATATACCTCAAAATTTTATGCTTTAATTAGTTTGGTGTCTTCCTTAGCTTAACAACGAGGCGATGAGATTGGGAAAAAAGATATTAATGAGTGAGAGAATTAATCCTTTATTTTTCTTTGTATTTAGCACGCGCATGGAAGGTTCATAAACCTTAATTAATAATTATTAGATTCCCCACGTGCATGGGAATAATTATAACTATTTTAATAATTAAACAATGTGTTGATTATATCAACTAGCTAGCTCCAAATTCGCCATTAGGACATGACGATCTAAACTCAGGATTTTGTTCTTTCCGTGCATAACCAAGCGAATCGAGCCGCCGCCACCTACCCCGGCGTCTATATATGGAATCTATACTTGAGAAATTGGCGACCAAGTTGTGTTGCCTATACAATCTATCTAGCTAGTTTATTTGTGAAAGTATTGACGAAGTGGTCAAGACTCTACCGATTCAAGTTATGGAAATCAAACGATGTATGTAATAGGATAAAATACCGACTTGATTGTGAGATCACATATTTTTTTCGCAACTCTTAATATTGATAGTTTATGTGTATGCGGAGAGGCTAATCTTGAGGAATGCGAGTGCACCTCAAGACGCCGCACGGACTTCGAAAGTCTGTCCGTGACAGTACTTGAAAGGCTGAAAATGCTATATTTGCGGATGCTTTAATTTTGACATACTACAAATCTTTAACAAAGTGCTCCCGCCGCCAAGTTGAGTAAAGCTTACGTGGAACTGCTGAAACCAAAGATTGTAAAAATGTACAAGTTGTATCCCAAAAGTTAGTGATAAAATATTTTGTACTAAAATTATAATTTAATCATATTTCAACCGTTTGTACCTTTAAAATTCACCTACCGATTTAAATTCAATAGGAGATTTTTTCTATCGCGGTATAGTTTCATAGACAAAGGATGTAACAGTTTAACCCATGTTCGTGCTTGCATGGACACTCTTCTACATAAAAAAAAAAAATGGCCGGCCCAATAAGATAATAGGTAGATCGAGCCCTATGGTATTGGACTGCATTTTAACTTTATCTAGTTTTGTTTTTTTTTTTTTTTTTTACAAAGTCAGAGTATTAATCAAAAGTCACAAATCAGAAAAAAGAAAAGTGCGGGAGTCGACCAATAGTCGAACTCCCGATGAGATGGCCTTTTGTGCCACATGATGGGCAGCCCTATTGAGTTGACGAGAAACAAAACATAAAGAAACACTGTTGAAAGAAGATGCCAAGCTCCTAACGTCCTCCAAAATAGTGCCACCTCGAACATGATGCATATCACCTCCAATCATCCGGCGTATCAAGAGTTGAGAGTCCCCATGAAAACGAACAACAAGAAAGGAATGAGTTAGACACCACTGTACCGTATCCCGTAGAGCTAAACATTCTATGATAAATGGGTCCTGAATCCCATCATAAAATTTTCCTAAAGCAAACAGAACATTACCTGTTGTATGGAAGCCGACAAAGCCAATACTACCTCCTTGACAACGTTTGGTAGCACCATCAAACCAGACATTGATAATAGCCGTGGAACCTGAAGTCGTAGGTGTGACTCTGGTAGCACGTGAAGGACCTGGAGCTGTAGAAACATTACCATCGGGGGGCTGAATTGGAGGATTTGGCCCTAACGTCCTCCACTCATCTACTTGTCGTTGAAACTGCCGAAACAAAGCCAATGGGAGATATTGAATGCCTTCATGGACCGCCCAACATTTCTCTTTCCAAATCCTCCAGAGAATGAAAACAATATTAGCTATCTCAATTTTCGAAAGATTCATAGAAAAGAAAAGATGATGCAAGGCCTCATCAGGAATCATTCCTCCAAGAGTAATGCTCAAACCTTCAAGGTCCGCCAGCCTCCACAGTCCTCTAGCTACCCTGCAGGTAAAGAAAAAATGAGAAAATGATTCTGGTTCCCCGAAACATATAGGACAGGTCGTGTCAGTCACAAGAGTTTGAAAGAAGAGTTTTTTTTCCTAAACCAGAACGACAACGTTCTTATTTCCACTAGTCATATAACAAAAATGTAAAATTTTGCACAATACTAATAGAGGTTGCTGATCTGTTCACTGTTTTGATCGGTTAAACTACACAACTGGAGTCAAGCTGCAAGGTAGGCTCTCTCTGGTGCTCGAAATTTCTAGCTAGCTAATTGAAGCCTTTTGAAGATGTACATATACTACAAAAGACTTCAATATTAGCAAATGAGAAAGTGATACACTCATTTCGATCTTTCGGACGAACCAACATTTAACATGTCAAATCTAAAATAATTGATCGTTGACCTCAGAGTATAAAATGTACTCGAAATATAAAAAATGATATCATAATTCTAACCCTTTTTTAGTTTTATCAGAGCATTCACTGTGACACTAGTAACTGTTGATGTGACTTGAATCGGACTATATATGAGCTCAATGTTGTTTGCAGTGGCGGAGCCACTTGGAGAGGAGGGGGTGCTTTGCACCCCCCTTGGCTTTGGAGAATTTTTTTTTCGAGTAGGGTATATACAAATTCCAACCAATGACCATTCAGTTGCAGAAAGAATTTCTTATCATTTCGATCGAGTGAGTTTTGTTATGTAATGCACTTTCGTCTTTATTTATAGTAATAAATTGTTGTCTTTTGTTTAAACTCGCTCTTTTTTTTTTTTTTGTAGCTCTACAACAGAGAAATTTCTTGTCTTTTGTTTAAACAAAGTTGAAAGTGAAGAAGTACCAATTGAAGTTCACTTGTTTGTTTCACAAAATCAATTCCAAGGTACTTCTGAGTTCTAATTTGTAATATTTGATGAATGGAAGTCTTGATTTGTATGTACTGAACTTATTTGTTTGACGTTGTAACCGGTGTACGTGAAACTATTTTGATGTAATTGTGTGAATTTAGAGTATTGCATTGTTGACTTTTTGTTTAATTTAAAGTTGACTTTTCTATTGTATAGGTGATTTTTTATGATATGATAAAGACACCCCCTTGGCCAATTTCCTGGCTCCGCCACTGGTTGTTTGGGTTTTTGTTTTGAGCATGGTTTGTAATCGTTTTTCCTTTACCAAATTAGATTAGGGTTAGACCATGGAGAAGTACTATAAATACTTCTCATACTCCCCTGTAATCTTTATCTCTGCTCGAAGTATAGTGCAACTGGCTCTCTCCTGCCCGTGGACTAGTTAACACGCATTGTGCTAGTGAACCATGTAAATCGCGTGTTGTGTGTTTATTCTTGCTTTCGCTTTCTTGCTTTGTCGAATTCCCCTATTTCCCGGTCCACAGAGGAACCGTCGTGACAGACTGACAGTTACTAACTTCTAGCTGTACGTAGATTACTAGTTTACTCCACATAACAAGACAACTTGATTATAGATGAATGATTCTCACATACAATTTTACATTCATCCAAATTGGATAGTACACCAATCTCTTGAAAACCCTAATAATCAGACTAGCTACTTGCGGAATAGTTGACATTACCCATATTATATCATTCCCATTATCCAAAGTTGACATTCCCAATCGCTCGCTACCTTGGAGAGACATATTCGTCTAGGCTACATGCGTGATACCTCTTCAACATAATATTGCAATTTGCAAACACACAATCTTCTCCATCGATCATATTCGCACGAGAGAATCAATGGCTCTTCAGATCTTGGTCGGGTCGATTATCCAACTTGATGATGATCACAATTCCTACGCATCAGCCCATATGCCCTAGTGGCAAAGAAAAGTTGCCATTATTCACTAAGCACGATTTCTTCATCGAGTCGTTCAAGCGTGTCTTTCTGCTCATGTAGCATAACGACGTTGCCTCAACTGGCCTCAGCGGCGGCTAAAGGGCCAACATAAGGGACGCTTCTGGTTCTGTCGGTGCTTGAAACAATTTTGTCTTTTCCATATTACTCTATCTCTAGAGTCAATAATTTTCTATGAGGAACTACTGAGAGTTGGTTTGTTCTGCCATTGCGTTTAACTATGTGATTATACTATAGCGCGAATAGGACAAATTCACAACGAGAGCCACGTGTACTCTTCATCAAACATTAAACTATTTATAGGTCATTACTTACTTGGTAATCAATCGTTGGAAGAACCTGCTAGTGATCACTAAACAATCTTGTATAATACTCTCTAACGCATAATTACAAGAAAAATAGCTTAATGTCTCGCCCCTAAAAATGACTGTCAGAAGGAACAAAACCATTGCTATTTGCTAGCTAGGCCTTTATTTTGACGACTAGTTTGTTACTTTTGACAACCCTTTTTCCTTGCGACAAAGAACTTGTAATCACGTTTATCAGCTCGACGCAAATTTTGCAAACAAGACAAGATTTTTTTTTTCTATTGTTTTAAGTACATTAACACTTAATTGAAGCAGAAAGGACATGATCATCAGATGACACCTAGTTATAACTTAGTTTTTTCCCTTCTGTTCTTCAACTTTTCCTCCACTCTTTCCTTTCACATAATATTTATACTTTCGGCAGCATTTTTTCCTCCATTTAGGCTTATCCACACACATACACGATGAAAATGGAGGTAAAAAGGAAAACTCAATAGATTCTGCGGGGCATCAAACCCACCTTCTCTATGTGATGACATAGCAACCCACATAGGTCACTTCATATTTTGGGGAATCCATATATCACAAGGAATAATATTTCCCCATCACCTTTTCATCTCTCTTTTTACTCTTTTAGTTCCATTTTTCTTATTCACTTTACATTTCTCCATCAATCCCATAACTTGTATTTAAGCCCTTCCATCTCTCCCCTTCAAGAAAACGCACACCCATCTTCACCAAGATACAACACTTCAAAAAAAAAAAACAATCAGCAACGAACCCAAAAAACTCCGTCACTAAAGATCATGGACAGGGTGGCAAGGTTGGCGTCGCAAAAGGCGGTGGTCATATTCAGCAAGAGCAGCTGCTGCATGTGCCACGCCATCAAGCGCCTCTTCTACGAGCAAGGGGTGAGCCCCGCGATCTACGAGCTGGACGAGGACCCACGAGGAAAAGAGATGGAGTGGGCCCTCGTCCGGCTCGGCTGCAGCAACCCTTCGGTTCCTGCGGTGTTCGTAGGCGGGAAGCTCGTCGGTTCGGCCAACACGGTCATGACCCTCCACCTCAATGGCTCGCTCAAGAAGCTGCTCAAGGATGCTGGCGCCTTGTGGCTTTAGCGACGGGCTGTGGTTTGGGAAACAGCAGTCGTCGCTAAAAGGGTTTGCATGGGTTGATCAATAACGACCGACTCTCCGTCGCCCTAGAAAAATTTCCCTTGTTTTTGTTTTCTTTCTTCTTTTTTTCTTTCTTTGCGGCTATGAAAATGTGTTGTGGAAAAAAAAAAGATCTAAACGTATAGAGGATTTAGAGATTATCAAAATGTACCAAGAACATATGTATGCCGAAGGACTTTTTGTTCCAACACACGTACGTATGTATAAGATATGGTCTACTTTCTTTTCTTGATGCTATATAATGTTGTTAAGAAATTGACATCAATGAGAAAGACACTAGGATTTTGCAATATATAGCTTGAAGTCGACTTACTATCCATTGATTTTATTCTTACTAGATCACGCGATGCAACCAGTAAAACGTAAATTTGATGTCTGACCAACGAGAGTTCTATTATTTTTTGTGAACACAGGTGCAAGCATCACTACTTTGACCAACGAATTCCATGAGTTAATATATATACTTTCATGTACGCAGGCTAGCTATAATAGCGTGACGTACAAAACAGACAAGATAAATTTTTGACAAATTACAAAATAGCCGTTATATGTCGAGCACTATTAGTAAATCAATTAAAATATGTCACGAATTCTAGTTGTAGCAATGTGCAGAAACTATGTATGATTTAATTAATAATTCCCTTCCATGTATGTTAATGATATGATCAACTCATCCCAAAGGCTAGAAGAAGATCATTTTATTTGGAACATGGAATATTTGTTAGGTGGTTGTTTGAAAAAATTTATGTTCCTTTGATTCTAAACCGTAGTAAACGTTTGAAATTCTCCTAGCTGCCTACCTATTGCCTGCCTACCTTCTAAAATATCTAATGCAATACCTAATTTGTTATAATTATACATATAATATAATAGTATTTTTTAGACCGAAGAATTTCGTGTTATCATGTCAGTTTGACTCAATAGCTTGAATAGTAAAAATGACTTAATAGTAAATCTTGCATCATTTTCTTAAAATGTGGACGCTAGCTCTTCAACTTGCAGATCAATCATTTCATGTACTTAACTATTTACCCATAAGCTAAACTTTTTTACCAGTCGAAACTTGGAAATTTGGGTTATTTTTTAAGACAAGTGTGTTTCTTATCCCAAAAATTTGATACTACTTAGCATGAGTCCTCGTCTTTCTGTTACAACTATATGGTTTTGTAAAAAAATGATTTTAAAAAAAATTATTAAATTATGTTTTTATTTAAAAATAATTTTATATCGGTACGAAACTGTTCAGTCTTCATTGTGCAATATACCGAAGAAAAAAGATTAAAGACTTTATTGAAATAATAAATATATATTTATATATGCGCAGATTAAAGCCATTATATAGAAATAATAGTGTTTTTTGGGGACAGATGGACAATGCATAGAGGTGTCTTTTTTCCCAATTCGCAAATGAGGAAAGATGCCAACTGATAGTACCATATTGAGGCTTCAGTTTCCAGTTTCGTTAGTGCCACCAAGAGCTTAAAATTAAAAAGAAAAGGCAATTATTGAATTTGAATATTATAGAAATATGATTCACATTCATTTCATCTTGTCCATATGATATGATGGCCTGGTTGGAATATATTCCAATTTATCTCCAAATTAAATAGACCAAAGAGGAAATTATCATCGTCAACTTGTTTATATTATGGGGTTGAACTTTTATATTTAAGATGATTGATAATTGCAACAGCAAAGAAAAAGATCAAAGTTCAAGAAGCATCAGGTGTTAGGCTTAGGCAGCCATTGGGCTTTGTCTAGCGCCTAGGAGTTTTTGAGTGAAAATAACAATTTTATGACATTGTTTATTTTATCAATTAATTTATATTAGTAATTTATAATTTAGTCAACCCTCAACATAAATCAAAATATGTCATGATTTCTTGAAAGCACATGTTTATATAATCAAAACTTTGTAGAAAATGAAACACAAGTTCATAAACAATCAAACAACAAACACTTGAAAACGAGTCCCATTAATTCGTCATTGTCCACATAGGTTCGTCCAGGCACCACTTCAGTCTTCAGCATCCTCAAAAGCAATATCCTCTTCATCCTCCTCGTCATACTTGAATTCTTCGTCATGGATCACTCTCACTCTTGCACTCCTGGGAAGTTAATTAAAGCTGCTCACTATTTACCATTGTATCTGTAACAACGTTGGATGGTGCACGCTCTCCCTTCCTCAGCGTCCCTTAACAAATACATAGCATGATTATCCCCTCCCTCTAATATGAATCCTTGTGTTTCATTTGCATTGGTACTAAGAATATCAAAGAAGAGGTTGTTGTATTTCCTTATATGTGAGTCAAGTCCTGATTGTTCGAGTTTGACCTAGAATTGAATTCCAACTTTTTATCAAGAAAAGGGGAGCGAAGATGCATGAATTGATGGCTTAATAGGAGATGGCGTTGTTTTGGGACCATTTTTATGCCTTCTTTTAATCCTCAATCTATCATGCCAAAATTTGATTAATCTAGGCGCCGCTAGGCGTTATGAATGCCTAAGTCTCTGTTTAGGATCTAAGTGAGGGGTTTTGTCGCTGCCTATCACCTAGGCAACGCGGAACTAATACATTTTATTATTTTCTTTTTGTTCTTGGGTAGTTACTCGAGTAGCAATGGTGGATTTGCTAGATGTCAGTCATTATCATTTTCAACGGATGAGATTCCTAGAGGGCGGACGTAAATTCTATCTATGAATCGTATTAAATAGTAATAAGGATAAGACTCTTGTGAGTTTGAACATTAAGGTCAACAATTATAAAAAAGAGAAGAATTTTAGATTGTTTATCGATGAAATTATACCCGGATTGAATTGGAAATTCGTGTTAGAATAAGATTTCTTTTCGGATTCAAAATTCTAGAGCTAAATCCAATTGGGTTAGGTGATCTAGTAGAACTAGAATTAGCAGCTTTATTTACTACGAGTTAAATCTTATTTTATGATTGATACAAACATCGTTTTCCCCTCGATTATTGGTGCCTTTGTTCTTATCTTGTGTCAAGAAGTTACTGTTCAGTTTTAACTGCACGAGAATGATTAATTCCTGACAAATGATGAACAGTTTCCTAGTGTGCTTGATTTGGTGCAATCATCAAAGGACAAGCAAAAGGTTAGAAATTTATTTGAAAAAAAAAAATTGGTGAATAATTGAGCTTTTCTTTTGTGATGGGTCCAAGGAGTAAAAGAAAAAATCGTACCCAAACAAAGACCATCTTTTTGTCAAATTGCTGGACTTTGCCTTGCCTTGGCCCAGAGAGAGGACCCGGCCCAAATTAATGGAAATGACATGATATGACAAGTTAAAGGTGAAAGAGAGCAAAAGGTGTTTTTGTCTGTAGAAATGGAACTGTCCGAAATGACTTTCTACCAAATGTGTTTTTGTGGGACATGATTTTCTCCCCCCTGTTTATGTTTTCTTCTTGACATTATCAATTTCTTGCCAACAACCCATGTTCAATTTATTTGTTTGCATGTGTCGAAATGTAAACCGTACGATTTCACGAAGGTCGCATCCACATTTTACGAACAACATTGTACATGTTTAAAATAAGCAAAAAAAAAAATATTGACGCTCGAACGTAACGGTCTCGTGATTGCAATGTAGACTTAGTGTCACCTCAAGGAATGATGAATTTTCCCAAGTACATTGTTTGCTGTTTAAGTTCAAATTATTGCCCTTATAAGTAAGAAAAAGAAGCTTTTTGATTGAGATTTCACTAAATAATCCACAAGCCAAACCAAAGATTCCTTTTCTCCCTTGTCCGAGAGACACCAACCAACCGAGCATTACTGTGGGCTGTAATATTTTTGTAATTTTGTGCAGGCTTCTTTCAGGGCCCATACCCATCTAGCCCAACTAACAATAACACAATTTTTTTTTTGTCCTAGTCTTATTTTGTGAGCTTTCATTTATGCAGTAAAAATGTAAAAGTATAAATGTAGTAACATAAAATCATGTAGTGACTACATTCATGAAGAGGGTTTCTTTGTACATATAAATCCTAATCTGTCTCCAATTGGATGAAGGCAACTATAAAGTCCTAATCGAGTAATACTCCCACGAAGAGAGAGATGGAAGAATGAGATACAAGAAGTTGTTAACCAAGGTAGACAACCTTCGGTCTTACTGTTCGAGCGAACCGAACCGGCTCAAATCTGATGCCATAAGCGATCGTCAGTCACTCAGCAGTTATGCAGTGGAGTTCGTTTATGTTTTCTGCATCTTCAAGGCGAAGATACTTCTATGCTTCTTCTATCTACCTTTTCTTTTAACCTCTTGCTCCCGGTTCACAAATTTTTTTTTTTTGCCTCTACAACTCATAGCGGAGTCAAGGCCAATTGAATGTGTCTCGGGACACAGGCAATTTTTGGCTAAAATAAAATATCCATATATATATATATATATGGCGAGTTCTACGGTACCTTGGGTAAAATCCGGGGTACCGCATACCTTGAGTATGAAAACACTATCTAGACCTTGAATTGACCGATCTTTCAGACATGATACTATACTCTAACCCTTAAAAATCAAAATCTAGGTCATAATTCTCCCAATCTTATACTCCAAGATCAATTTGATTAGAAACAATAATCGACGGTTCTGATTCGTCCAAATATAGGCACAAAGAAGAAAGCATCATCTTAGGGTTTATAGATTATGATTTAGATAATTAGGACCTAGGGTTCACTCATTAAGGGTTAGGGTATAGTATCAGACCCAAAAATCCTGCTAATTCGAGGTCTAGATACCGTTTCCATAGTCAAGGTATGCGGTACCACGGATTTCACCCGAGGTACCGTAGAAGGCACCATATATATATATATATCAATTAAGGATTGCACTCATCAGCTTTAGGTAATATAAAAGTGAATTATCACTACTTATTTCAAGTTTAAAAGCTAACATAACCTAATTTATCACACTATAAACAAAATTCATAATACTAAAAAATCGATCTCTCTGCCTTCTGTAGTTAGTTTTGACTCTACTCGTTGCAACTGCACGTGTAAAAAGAACATTTTCAGCTTTGAGCTTTATGAAAAACAAGTTTGAAAGTCGGATTACGACCAATTTGCTAATGGTTGCTTAGTCGAATACATTGAGAATTTGAAAACGTGTTGTAAGTGCTTATGAAAATAATGATTGTGTTAGTCTAGTATTTCATTAATATCTATCAATGAATTATTTGGATATTATTAGTTTTAATTATATTTATTAAATAATTTTTTATTTATTTCATATTTATATTATGGAAATATGACACAGGTACTTTCAAACTCTGGCTCCGCCACTGCTACCACTAAAACAGTCGCCAATCACCATAAGTTTTCAAATTTTTTTTTTTGTAAATACAATATATTAGCCACAACTATTATGAAGCGGGAAATTATAGCCACAACTATGGAAATTCAAATTATTAGCCAAATGTTAACTATTTGTTAACAATTTTGTTAATAATAGTGACTTTAACCTTTATGTTTTAAAGTTATAAATTAAAAGCATTCCGCCGTGACCGCTGCCGTGGCCGATGACATGACCTTCTCCGTCAAAAATTCAATAACAGTAACAGACAGTTAGCCATATCTTGACCCGCAACAATAGTTATGGCTAATAATTTGAATTTTCATAATTGTGACTATAATTCCCCGCTTCATAATAATTGTGGCTAATATATTGTATTTACTTTTTTCAGCATAACAATGCAATGATGCTCGACTCTTTTGGCCTTTTAAGCTTGATTATGGTTCCACAACTAGTCAAACATATCTCCCATCAATAATTAGAGAAAAAAAAACTCCATTTTCCTCCTATGAACCCGGACCAAGGTTGTTAACTCGCGGGTTGATCCGACCCGGTCGAATTTGTGGGTCAAGGGTTAATGGGTCACCCGATTTAGCCCGGTTTAGCCCAAAAATATGAAAAGAGTCATTATATTGTACTTATTCTGATAAATTATATCAAATCTCATTTAACATATGAGTTATAACTTATAATATTACACCAAAAATAGCAAGTCGTACTTAGATCCAACATATAGTGAAAATTCACATACACTTATATAACATCAATATTCAAATATTCAACTTAGGATTCCAAAGATTGAGTTATGCGTAAAGCAAAATCAGTAAATAGGCGCATTTCGCAAACCAAAGAAAAAAATGACACAATTTGACCTCCAACCCGCTATCTTGCAACGTTCGACCCGGCGGGTGTGTGCGACCCGTTTTTCTCATCGGGTCAGGGTCAAATTGGGTCGACCCGCGGGTTGACAACCTTGACCCGGACTAAACCAATCGTTAATCCTTCATCCATTTACTCAACCGGACCATCGATCGAACCGGATTGACCACAAAGTGTGGCTCTCGTCTCGTATCGTGGATTAATTAGTCGCGAAAAGTGGACAGTAAATCCTTTTCAAGGAGGACGGCAAGTTGATGGAAGTTGGTCAACCATCACATACCACAATTCTTTTGCCACGTGCCTGGTATGAACAGCAGCGACGGTGGTCAAACAAAATTTTGGTAACCTTTGCCTTTTTGACCACGTAATTTCTGCCCCACTTTAATTTTAGCCCATATATGTAACCGCTCCCCCAGTATATAAATAATTCAATATATTTTTACAAAAAAAATATATATATATATTCTTCTTGCATTCTTTTTTTTTTTATATATATAGAATTCTTCTTGCATTCTTAACCAAACCTAATTATATCATTAAGAAATGATGTCCACAAAAAAAATATCGCAGAATTGTCATTAGGATTTAGGATTATTTTTTCACTTCTGGATAGTATTGGGTTGGGGTGGAGACCGCTAGCTTTACTAGCTATATACCGGGTAAAATACCTCGGATACCACTTAAGTTTCAGAATTGGGGTATGCATACCACTTAAGTTTGAATAGGGCGTCGGGTACCACTGAACTCTATTATTTGTGCACCCGGTACCACTTAAGTTTAATGTTTAGTGCATTCCGTTAAAGTTGATAGAATATTCTGTTTTCTAAATTTCTTAATTGGTCCTTCTACTTTTCTTATTGTAAATTATCATTTTTTACTTATGAAAAATATCAATTTTTATTATTTAATTGGTATCCTATTTTGAAAACTTGATACCAAATTAATTTTTGAATAGAAAATTTAAAATCAATTATTATTATAAGTATTTTCAATTATTATTATATTTTCTAATAATTGAATTATTCTATCTTTTTTTTAAAAGCTTTTGGTACCAAACCAATTTTTGAATAGGAAATGTAGAATCAATTATCATTATAAGTACTTTAAATTACCATTATGTGTTATAATAATCGAATAATTTGCTTAAGCAAATATATCCTATGAATTCTATATCGATATAAATAATATGAGGATGTTATATTGAATTCTCGTACATCATTTGGATGTTGTATAATTTTCTTGGTTACTTTCGTTCTATTTTCGTTCTAAATTATCTTCAATTACTGTAATATGTTTAATTCTTTCTAACTATGTTCCATTTATCATTCTTTGGTCTTGATGTATTGATGATCGATTAGATTCTATTTTAACTATTTTTAATGGTACTTCTTATCGGATTAGTGATTTAAATAGATCTTCTAATATTGATTTTAAATATTTATTATTATATTCTATATATTTGTTCTTCTTCTTGATATTATTATTTTTACTAACTTATCTATTTATTGAAAATTTTGATTAGTCATTTTAGTAATATAATGTTTAGAAGGTTTTTTAATTTCTATATTAGATAAAAACTTGTTGAAATATAGTTTTGGATGTTTTTAAAAGTTTTGGGTACCAAAAAGTAATTAAAATTTCGGGTTGGATGGAAAACTAGACGGATGCACATTTTGGTGACTTTAATGGTACCTGACGCCCTATTCAAACTTAAGTGGTATGTCTGCCCCAATTCTCAAATTTTAGTGGTACCGGAGGTATTTTACCCGCTATATACCAAAAATAAAAGAGCATTTCTTTGTTTTCCTTATTTGTTTCGAGGTTATCAAAATTGTTGGATAGGGTTTATTGTTATGTTGTAATTTGTATCAAAAGTTTGTCGATTCGATGCATTTATGAAAAAATAAACCAAAAGAAGTATGCATGGATGATAAAAGATGAATCATCAACTTGAATATAGTTGAAAAATGTTTACTACACCTACAAATACGCTCCAACTTAACTCATTTCATACGGTGTTAGTTAAAATAACTTGATTCATTCTAATCGATGATTCGTTATGATTTTTAGGTATCAAATAATTACACGTTATGGCTCAACTCGTTACGGTCTCATTCAAATCCATCGGACCTAGTCCACTCAAACAATTTTTAGTATTTTCACCAATTAATTGTAATAATCACATCAGACTCATTTATCATCTACAAAAAATAGAGTTGTTGCTAATTAACTAACATGGGCTTGGTCAAGTGGTAATAATACCACTAGCCTGGAGCCTAGAGTACTCAGGTTTGAATTCTTTAAGTAATACTTTAATCACAAATATGGCTAAATTTTGTTACTTTAATTTGATAAAAAAAAAATTTGATTTGCCCCATGACATATACACATACTATAAACAAGTGGTTGATAGATTATTGTCTTACTTAATTTGCACAATATTTTTACCCTTCAAAACAAATAAATAACAAGAACTTGTTAGCTTTCTGACGTTTGAATTGTTGCTACTTTATAAAGATAAAACATCATATTTTTTTCTTGCAAATCAATTTTGAGACCAATTATTTGGGGTAAAGTTTCTAGAACACAAAACGTGTTTGTTAGTATATCCTGATAAATAAACAAATAATATAAAGGTTGGATAGGAAAATCTGAAGGTAGATTTCATAACATGGGAGCAAAATCCAACAACAGGATCTAATTAAAAGCGGGGGGAAATCATATTAGTGAAAAAAAAGTTAATTAGTTCTATATATTTTACATAATCAAATAGCTGGATGGAGAGAGGCGGGAAAAGTAGTTGACCTGATTTGTAGCGGTCAACATTGAAAGTTAGGGGCTTTATATTTGATTTGGTTGTCTTAACTCTTAACCAAATAAAATTCCACATTTTAATTTGTATTTTTTACAAATGTGGTTAAGTATATTGATATGATACTAAATAAATTGTGGTTCGATTGTGTCATTTTTATCATGTGTTTTACACAACTTCAATGACGTATAAAATACATTGTCGATAAAATTGTTGTCATAAATATCGAATAAACATTATTCTACTATACAACGAAAACTGTGTATCCCTATAATTTGATTCTTGTATAATAAAAAAGAAATTAATAATACTTGAAAAACATGTAATAGTGAAAATTGTCAATTCTCCTCTCATGCATCCACTTGCAACCAAAGGAAAACCAAAATGAGCCTTTTGGTTTATTATGGTAGTTTGTTTTCCAGTGGAAATAAAGTTAAAGTTGATAAGACCCCATGATGAAAACCAACAAAAGAAATTAAAATTGGTTTGGAAATTAGAGAACAAATGGATAAGGAATGCTGGAGGAGCAATGAAAACAATTAGCAACATAAAACACAATTGAGTGATAATGGTTTCAGTTTTGAAACGAGTATGATAAGTTGAGATGGATAAGAAATATCATCTAAATAGGATGGGTAAATACAATTTAATATCCAAACTTTTTATTTTAAACAATATAATAGCCAAATCTTTTCGAAAACAATCTAATATCCAAATCGTCAACTTTCTGTTTGTTTGACCGTTAGTTGACACTTCAAAAAAGTTCGAAGTACGACACTTCGTCAATATCCATCGATATCTTCTTTGAAAAACCACCAACATATCGTAGTTCCAAACCCGAGAAGTCCATGACTCCACCATGATGGTATAGAATATCTAAATATTCAGTCATCTGCAATGCCAAAACAAGAAACAAAGTTGTATTGTGACAATTTCCCCTAAACAAAGCTTTTTTGAAGTGTCAACTAATGGTCAAACGAACGGAAAGTTGACGATTTGGATATTAGATTGTTTTCGAAAAGGTTTGACTATTATATTGTTTAAAATGAAAGATTTGGATATTAAATTGTATTTACCCAAATAGGATCTATATATATTTTTTATATTAATATGAGTGCATTGACACACTAGTATGATAATTTGAAGGGAAAATTTTACGAAGATCGATGATGACTGAAGACGAAAAATAACTATTTATACATACTACATATTTTAAAACTTTTGACCGTAAGTTAATTAAAGGGATATATGAATTAGGCGTTATTTTAATACCAGTATTGTTTTGTTTGTTTGTTTGGGTGGTTGGTTATGGTGCAACACATGAACCACGTGAAGCCACATTTCTTAATTACGAAATTCCCAAACTACTGGACTCCATTTTTTTTCCCATTACAATAAAGAAAAAAGATCGCGTATGATATTTGGTTCCCATTTGTGTTCGGTTGTTTTCCGTTTTGTCTTCTCCAAACGCGCCACTAGCTAGCTACAAAGATTGCTCACTATTTGGATTAATCTCAAAATGCACAGGAAATAACCCAATTATCCAACCAATATGAGGTACTCCAGATTCGCGTAACTTTATGTCTTCCACTAAATCTCATGTTTGAGGTATCGTTTTTTTGTTTCGTCAGCTGGAGTAATTTGTACAATCTTGTATTCGTCTCGTAGAGTTTGGTTTGGTATGGTATGGTATAGTGCTTTCTTTATTCCATCCAAAACCAGGAAAACAAGTTTCTTTGCTATTAGTAATTAAAATCCAATCCACTGGTAATTAACGAACCCTTCCTAGCTTGACAAGCCGCCCAATCCGCAAGCTTATTAAAACGTCAAGGAACAAACTCGACGGAAATCCTTGGTGCCGACTGAACATTGTAGGTGATAATCAAAACGGTAATTATAGTCCAACCCATGATGAAGCCACTTGCCCAATTTAGAGATCATCAGGCCACCGAAAATGCAAAGCAAACTCAATAAGTTACCTTAATAATCATTAAAAAAATTTGCACATGGCTTGCCCACCATGCTATATATGAGCTCTTTTATAACATTTTACTATGTTATAAAGTATTGGTGCTTTAATGTACAACTTGAAGTTGTACCATAACATTAAATGTATAAGTTCAAGTTGTACCATAAAGAAACTTGTACCCTTATGTTATGGTATAACTTTACAAATTGAAGTTGTACCGTCACATAAAGGTACAAGTTCAAGCTGTACCATAAAGAATATGTACAAAATAGTGTAGGTATAATCTAAAACTGTACTATAACAATGAATGTACAATTTCAAGTTGTACCATAAAGATAAAATTCCTCGCTATATATATATATTGTATTGTCTTGGCAATATCGGAAAAAACCATACGATTTTTTTTATCACAGACGTGTAGTTGGTAAGAAGAAACCATTTATCTATGCATCTTAAAAAAAAAAAAAGAATAACGAGCAATTTTCCCTCCAAAATTGTTGGAATTATTTGATAAGTCATTAGTCCAATATTGGTCGATAATTATATTGGAATTTTAGTTGAAAGGGGCGTTTGATTGAAAGCAAAATGACAAGGGGAATAGGTTAGGGAAAACTCAACTTTTAGAGTGGGCGCACCAAAATGGAATGGGAATGTTAGCATAAGAGGACAATACCGGAATAATCTTATCAATATTAACATTAATCTTTTTTATTAATTTCTCACTAAACCGCCGTCACTATAGAATGTATTTGAAAGTAATATCATATATGAGCTGTGAGCCAATACCAATAATCACTTTATACATCTTGAATTACATGTCATCATGAATATTTATGATTGAGCAGGTGACCATAACTTTTTTTTTTTTGACAACATTTATAAATAAAAAAAAATTTTGACAACATTTTTTTTTAGCAGGTGACCATAACAATAAATAAAAAAATCACTACTTCAGCAAATACGATCCCTCGTAACCATTTACAAGTAATTTATTATCTAACATTCTCGAATTCGGAAACACTTTAATATCTTTTACTCAGCGAATGTTGTTACATCATCTAATCGGTTGTTGGTCGATAAGAACCCCAAAACAGGTGGGCCTATTGATTCACACTTTCTTTGGCTATCGTATAGAGTCCTTCTTTGTGCATTTGCATAAGAATACGTTGCCGTGTTGGCATCCATCTTGGCATGTTGTCCCAATGTCAGGAGCACGGATGTGTTGCTCTTAACCGTAGCAAATAATCCCGATTTCGTTTTAACTTATGAACACGAGCCGGTCAATCCATTTAACAAAACATGATTGTTTAACTCTATATGAAAAATCCGTCACGAAACTCTTTCACCATCTCTGGTTCTCAATCTTACAAACGCGCGAGGAAGAATCGCAAAACATTTCATTGGATCTTCTTTTTAATATGTTTTTTTAGTATGAAGATATAGGAAAGAAAGAAAAAAGGGAGCAAGAAATTGTCTGAAAGGGGGAAAAGAAGGGAGGGTGAAAAAGGGAAGATTCCTCTGCTTTCATTGCCCATATTGACACAACCAATTGAAAGTGCAATGGATTAGGGTTCATTCAATCTTTAGCCCAAAAAGGAGCAAAGAACAAATAACAAACAAGGGAGAAGGCATCGGTTTGTGCTTTGCCAATTTCAGGCATAATGCTGAGGGTAATCAAATAGGGTTTGTACACCTCGTAGAAGAAATTACCATGTTTGGCAATCCTTCTTTTTTTTACAGTTCATTTGGCTGATGGCAATTTTTGGGTAAGGCCCATATAAATTACTTTCATTATTATTTCTCATGTGGTATCTCTCTCGCTACACTCTAGTCCCATTAAAATTTAGGGCATATGAAAATTGGATGAAAATTACATTTTATTTGATTTCGTTGTGTATGGTATGTTTAAATTTAACGCATGTATGCTTTTTTCGCAACAACAAAAAAATTATATAATTTTTGTTGGAGTTGGAGGGATAAGAGAAAGTCGAAATTGAAATCTGTGATCTTCAAGTTGAAAAAAAATCAACAGTGACATTGCTAGAACACATTTTTGTTCTAAGCAAGATTGAGTTGAACCGTTTTCGATCCCGTACAATTTTATTCTTGCCAATAAATTGACTCGTTTGATATTAATTTGGTGAGACATTCATTTCGTTATTCTTGGAGTCTGGTTTTTGTTTGTAATCATTTTTCTTTTATTTTAAAATATATCATTTTAATTTCTCGATAACACTGAGCGATCTTTCAAATCGGTTCGACTTGAACCAATATTCCAGCTAACCCTTGTGGCCATGGTTCACGCTCCTTATTTCATGATCATCCGCAGAGGAAAGATCCCCTTTCGGCCATTTTATAGATTTTATTATTATTATTATTAATTACTGTTTTCCTTGATATATTGTTATGTTGGTCTTAGTATTAAAAACTCATCATTGGGTCAAATAACAGATTAACAACTCCCCCCTAAGATTTTCGTCAAAGTACAGATTACCAACACATAATTGATTGACAATTTTTGGACAATACATTACCATTTTGGAAAAAACAATTCAGTCATCCATATTTATATTCTAATATAAAAATGTATCAGTTAATTCGGAATTAAATATCGACGATACCAATACGTATAATAATACCGCCCTATGGTATAATTATACGGTCGTTGTCCAAAAAAAAAAAAAACAGGTCGGTGACTTTGAAAATCAGACGGGAAAAAAATGATGGTGTGAGGCTCTCCCCTACTTCCGATGAGCCAGCACGCTTTTCAGGCGTTGGATCAGCCACCGTGACGTCACTCTCCACCACCAGCAGCTCGCATCCCACGGCCTGTAGTGCGTATCCGGCGCGAGAATAAAATACTCCCGGCAGCACCCAATCCGCGCCTCCTTTTCTCCCTTTTTATTTTTCACCCGGGCCCACCAGAAAATACTTCTGTTTCTTTCTTTTTTATTAATTAATTTTCTCTTTTACTTTGAAACATGCGTTAAAGAAAGAAAGAAAGAGAGAAGAATGTGCATCACAAGTGTGGATGGAAGCACATCCCTTTGGCAGTGGGACCCACCCCCTTCCTCTCTTCCCGACAATGACGATCATGATTCTTACTTAATTACTGTGTGTTTAAAAAAAATGTGTATGTATAATGTATGTATTCTACGTTACAAATTTCGTGTGCATACAATACGTCATTGTCGTTTAATTATTAACAATTACTTAAGGTACAATTCGAAATCCTATTTGAATTTAGTGGTAAGGATACAAATGCACATATCTAAGCTTTGTACAACTTGTAATGCACTTCATTGACGTGTGGTTCTAGTTCATCGATCTGGATGTTTTTTTTACGATGGTTTAGTGTTCCTCTTTAGTTCGTCTTTTTAACTTTAGTTACTTCAACATGATATTGTAGGGTAAACGTTCATGCCCGTATCATAAACATGGGATTGCCCAGAGTAACTTTATTAACAAATATATTAATGATAATAATTGTTAACTAAAAAATAGGTGCTCACTACTTTTGTATTGATTTGAGGATCGAAAATTTTAAGTACATATTTTGTATTGTAATATTCATGAGAAGTCTGCTCTTTGAGAAACAAAAAAAAGTTTCCGCGTTTGTTCAATTTTTACCTGATATATGAGATATACATTGCGGTAAAAAATGAAGATTGAAATAAATAATAAATTGTGTCACATTTAAATTTAATTAATTAGTTTTTCTTGCTAATGTCTTTATTACGCGGAAATAAATGTTCAAAGAATTTCTTTTCTTTTCATTTCTTTTTTATTTTATTTTTATTTTTCTTTCTTGCTTGCTCTAATTACTTAACCGCTGGGTTTAATCGTGTAATTAAATGCGTGTGTTTTCCAATTTTCTCGAGCTAATCTCTTACTTTTTCCCCCTTTTGGTTTAGCTTTTTTTTTTCTTTTTTCTTTCAGCCTTTGTCTTTCTCTTCCTGCTTTGCTTCCACAACAGCAGTTTTTCTTTTCTTTTCTTCTTCGATTTGTCGATCTAGCCATTTGGTCTCTCTCGATCTTTCTTTTTTTTCGCTTCTTCAATGGCCACTAAAGATGCTAGAGCCAGAGAGTGGTGGGAGGTGAGAGAGAGCACAATCAAAAGGCAAAGTTGAGAGTAGTGACTTTGATAGTGAATGAATTATGCTCCGTTTCCCTTTTCTATTCTCCTCCTCCCCTGCCCTTACTGATTGTTGTTGAAGGAAGAAGTCTGCTACTTTGAAATTCGAAACGAAGCTCTGTTCCTTGTTCTGTTCTGGGTTTTCATTGTTCCGATTGCTGTTCGTTGTTCGGTGGTGGGAAAGATTGGGAGAAAAGGGTTTCTTGAATTCGGGTTTGTGGTTAGTGGTGGTGGGTCGGGTTTGATTTGGCCGGATTTGATATGGGTGGGTGCTTTCCTTGTTTCGGATCATCGAACAAGGACGGCAACAGCAACGGCGGCGGCGGCGGAGCTGGAAGTGGCGGCAAAGAAGCTGTGAAGAAAGACTTGGTGAAGGAAGCCTCAGTTCCTCAGTCTCACCATGTTAGTCGGGTCGGCTCAGGTACCAAACAAGAGTTCACTTCTTTCTTTTTACACTGAGAAATTCTCTCTGTTTGATCTGATTTCATCAACTGGGTTTCTTTTGTGGAAGGGAATTTTGGGTTCTTGGATGAATCCGTTTGAGATTTGGTTTACTTTTCTCATGGGTGTGCCTTTTGATTCTGCTCTGGAGATCTGCTCTGTAGTATCTTTGTTTCTGTTTTGCTAGAAGGATTCCTCTTGGTTTGTGTTTCATTCTCAATTATCGGCTCTCTCCTTGTTTTATATGACCATTCTGTTCAAGATAAAAAAAAGAATTGGGTCTGTTTCATTTGCATTTTGGACAAAGTGCTTTGGTTTCTGCTCGGCAGATGGAGAATATGCTAAGAGAGAGAACTTCCTATTTTGTCTTGTGTTAGTTGTCTTTGCAAGAATGTGAATTCTGGTCAATAGGGTTTTCCAAGAAATGCTGGATGTTAGAGGAGTACAAAGATCACAGTATTCTTCATGCTGGTGGCACCTTGTTGTTCTTTTACAATGTGGCAGAATGTTTTCCTTTTGATTGGTTTTTCGCATCTTAGTTACATACGAATTTTGTTTCGTGTAGACAAATCGAAATCTCGGGGTGGTTCTGAGTCTAAGAAAGAGCCGGCAATCCCGAAAGATGGATCGACAGCTCACATTGCAGCTCAAACGTTCACATTCCGTGAGCTAGCTGCTGCCACCAAGAACTTTAGAGCCGAGTGCTTGTTGGGCGAAGGAGGGTTTGGGCGGGTGTACAAAGGCCGACTGGAAAGCAGTGGACAGGTGAGAGTTTGTGTCTTATTTCAGCTTGTGGGTGCTGCATTTTCAGTTCCCTTAGAAATGCTGTTTGTCTGTTGATTCGATTCATCTATTGTTTCTTAATTATTGCTTGCTGCAGGTAGTAGCAGTGAAACAACTTGATCGCAATGGGCTTCAAGGAAATAGGGAGTTTTTGGTTGAAGTTCTTATGCTTAGTCTCCTTCACCATCCAAATCTTGTAAATTTAATTGGTTATTGCGCTGACGGGGATCAAAGGCTTCTTGTATATGAATACATGCCCTTGGGTTCATTGGAAGATCATCTACACGGTTAGGATTTCGCCTTCTTTATATTCATATAATCTTGTACTGTTTCTCTTCTTCAGTCATTACAGTACATGTAATTAGAGTTGAGTTTTTTCACCTTTTTTTCAGTTCTGACTTACTGTGCCAAGTCTCTTATATATATGTTAAAAAAACTTACTGTGCCAAGTCTCTTCCTCATTCGTCCTTCTATCAGTCCAAATCTTACGGTTTCTCTAGCGAGTAGAGTAAATCTTGACATACGTCAGCAACTAGCTCATAATGCCTTTTCTGATTATATATAGAGTTGTCCACACTTATGGCTGAACCCATTGGTAAAATGTAGAGTTTTATGTTTATAAAGTCTACTCATTTGCCAGCATAATGATGCTCTGTTTGATCAACTAGAAGGCCTACCATAGCGCCAATGTGATTCCGTGTAAATTAGGATTCTGATTAGAGAATGCTGAAACTTTTTGTAAGCTAGGTTGATATTTATTGCTATAGTGTATGTAGAGGCCAAAAACTTATTGGCAGATTATAGCAACATTCTTTAGAGTCTACTGTGTGAATCATGTTGCAGACACTGCTGTAGATGATTTCCTTTGCGGGCAAACTAAATAACCCAGGTTTCTATTTTTATTCTCTTCAGACCTTCCAGCAGACAAAGAGCCCCTGGACTGGAACACGAGAATGAAGATAGCAGCAGGCGCAGCCAAAGGGTTGGAATACCTGCACGACAAAGCCAACCCTCCAGTCATCTACCGAGACTTAAAATCATCGAACATACTCCTCGACGAGGGGTTCCACCCGAAGCTGTCGGATTTCGGGCTAGCAAAGTTGGGTCCTGTCGGTGACAAGACTCACGTCTCTACTCGTGTCATGGGGACTTATGGTTACTGTGCTCCTGAATATGCCATGACTGGACAGCTCACATTGAAATCCGATGTTTACAGCTTTGGGGTCGTGTTTCTCGAGCTCATCACCGGGCGCAAGGCCATCGACAACACCAGAGCCCCTGGAGAACACAATCTCGTCGCATGGGTAAACTTTTTTCTTTCCATTCATTTATAATAGCATACTCAAACATTTCTATTTGACTTGATAACTTATGGGCTGTTTTTTATTTCTTAGGCGAGGCCACTTTTCAAGGATCGAAGGAAGTTTCCGAAGATGGCAGATCCATTACTCCATGGGCGGTATCCAATGCGAGGGCTATACCAAGCACTGGCAGTCTCAGCAATGTGCTTGCAAGAGCAATCTGCTACAAGGCCACTGATAGGAGATGTGGTAACTGCATTGACATATCTAGCGTCCCAAACCTACGACCCGAGCGGCCCAACAAGTCAGAGTAACCGAGGGGGACCATCTACACCGAGGAGCAGGGGAGACGGGACTGACAGCCCGGATGGTCGTCTTGGTTCGCCCTCTGTTCACAGGAATTCGCCCGACTACAGAAAGAGAGACCGCCACAGGGAGTTGGGCACAGGTCCAGAGTTGGGTTTTGGTGAATCGGGCAGTGGTGGAGGTTCCGGTAGGAGAAGGGGTGGTAGTGGTGTGGATGAGTTAGAGCGGCAGGACTCTCGGAGGGACAGTCCAGTGAACAGCGCCAGCAGAATGAGGGAAGGCTCGAGGAACCGGGATTTGGACAGGGAGAGAGCGGTGGCCGAGGCCAAGGTTTGGGGCGAGAACTGGAGGGAAAAGAAGCGGGCGAATGCCGCGGGTGGTAGCTTCGATGCTGGTAATAGTAGTAACGAGTGAAGGAAGTAGGAATCACACTGTTGCAAAACGTTGCACAGGATGAAGGGGAAAAGATGCTGAATGTTGTGAAATCCTTACTGTGAGAGGAATCACAGCGGAGCTGGTGAACCATCCTTGTATGGAGTCAAGTCAGTTGGTCGGTCGGTCCGTCGAGGGAAAGTGAGGTAAAGGAGAAGTGGTCAATCTTTGTATCCAACTTTTTGACTGATGATGATGTTGTAATTGGGTTCTAGTAGTAGTCTTTTATTGAGAGAATGAAAACCGAATCGCAGGCCGTGAATGCTTCAATTTCTTGTGGTTGAAGGAAGGCAAAGATGGATACAGAGGGAGTGTGATAGAAAAGAGAAGGCGAGGTTTGACGAAGTGGGTCATTGTAGGTGGTCGATGCTTATGTTGATGAGGTTCAGAGCATTTGTTGGAAAAGGAAAAAAAGAACCTGTCCTTTTAGTTGTAGAATATGATGTATGTAATTGTGATCTTTTGTGTATTTAGGGGTCGTCTTCTTTTTTGTCTCTTCTATTCTTCTTATTTATTTTGGTTATGCAAATGCCATGGAGATAAGGGAAAATGGGATCTCTATTAGGAGGAACTCTCGAGCCCCCTCAGTTCCATCCATGGCGGGCAATCGAAATGATGATCCTTCCAAAATCCCAGAAACAACGAAGAAACCTTACACCTATAACCTTTCAAAATCCCAGAAACAACAGAGAAATCAAACATCTGTAACACATTCAGAGAAGTTATTTGCCACGGAATGCTGTCGAATCTTTCCTAGCTGTCGAATCCTTTGGAACGTCATGACTCCTGAGGAAGAAATCTTGTGGGATGGCCCTTTTCGCATTCATCTTCACAGCAGAGGGTCGTGGAATGGGGGAGAGTAGAACATTTTAATGATGCACAGTTGCTATGGAGAACAGAGTTGTCTGCAAATTGGGATCCCAATTCCTAAATCATAATAATTTGAAGTTAATCTAATAATATTCAGGATTACAGACAGGAGGCACGATCTAAAACCTGATTGTAATCTAGTACCGGTTGCAGACAGCAACTAATGGTCTGATTAGTTTACATTTGGGATACAGGGACTGATAATGCCTTGAACAACATGAGTATACTCCGACTAGTACGAAGAATCTGCGGCTTTCCTATACATAATTTCTAAAAAATCAGCCCTGGTGGAAGTTCATCTAACAATGTCAAGGAGGACACAAGCACCAAGGCTACTCCTCGCCGAAAGTCTCTAGTGGACCAATGCGCTTTGTTTCGCTACTTCCTCCTCTTTCCCTGCATCAAAACCGATTGATCAGATGTGTGTAATCCCAGTGTTCCGTCTCCCATACAAATCAGTATCTAGGTGTCCGATCTTGTATCAAGGTGGCATGGTGGGATGAAAAGCTTACCGAGGTCAGGTAATCATCCATGGAGAGTTGTTTGCGTTTCTTGAGGGAGCTGGGGCTCTCAGTTTGCCTCGAGCCGCCGCCACCACGCTTAGATGGGGTCATACTCTGCTGCAAGGAGACAATACAGGGGAAACGTCAGTGGGGAAACAAGTGTCTAGTGGTTTGGTGAACGACAGAAGATTTAAGAGGGGAAAAGACCTTGGCAAGCTTCTTCTCTTTACGAGCCTGCCTTTCCCTCTCATCATATTCCTGATTTTCCTTCTCCACCAATCGGATTAGGGTATCGCATCTCCTAGCCAGTTCCTGAGTCGTTCGCGACTTGACAAACCAGTCAAACCGAAACAGAGGTGATGTACGGAATGCTGCCTTGAGCTCGTCCCAATTCCCATATCCAAGTTTGTGGACCATGCATATCTGTTAAGAATTGTCAAAACAACAATCGGTGTGACTTGTGAGCTCAGTATCAAGTACAGACAGCAGACAACAGGATTGGAGAAGCAACAAAGTAAGAGAAGTACGCACCATGAAACGATCACATTCTTCATTGTACAACTTCCCTTTGTTTTGACCATACTGGATTTTCAACTCGAGCCATGGGTTCTTGTAGCGATCCAATTTCTTCCCGATAGCTTTCATTATCTCGTCTTTACGAGAAATTCTGGCCTCTCCTCTTTCAATATTCTTGATGATTCTGTCATAATCTGCAAATACAACCCAATTTCAAAGGTGACGGTTGACTTCGACATGCAAACTTTCAGCCCAGTACAAATTCAAGGAATGCGAAAACTGAGGGGCATCCTTTATCTCACGCATTGCATAAAATAAGAGGGTGCCTAGTTTGAATAAACGTACCGTTCAATTCTTTGAATCTTTCCTTGAAAGATTTTGCATATCTTTCAACCTCTTCCTCTGTCTTGCCTTCCATTTCAGAAGCAATGCTTTTTATGTCATTTCTGCCATACTTCTCACAAGCCCTAATGAAAGTATTGAAGTCCCTTCTACTCCACGAAGAGAATCCCTGGTTTACAGCTTCAAGGTAAGTAAACAGATACAAAAATAGAGCTTCGCTACAGGTCAAATCTACCAACCTCTTCCAACAGCTTCTCCTTCTCTTCTAGCTCTTCAGCAGTCAATGGTTCTCCAACATCTGACCAGCATCCAGTAAAAAATGTATAATAAATGAAAACTGAACACAAGTCCACTAGAATAACTAGGAAAAGCTTAACAAGCAAACATAAGCCATACCTTCAGGTTCATCTACCTCAATTGTGTCTTTCAACTGATTCTTTTGATGAGTTTGCTGGCAAATCCACCAGGGATAGTTAAGATATAAACTTGAGAAGGCCTTAAGATAGAGAAAAGACGGGAAAAAGTACCGAAACTAATGGAACAGAGACAATACCCACCATGAGATAGCGCACTTCTTTTTCATACAACTCATTCAACCTCTGTGTGTTGAAAAACTGGAAATCATGCCTGAAAATGGAAAATGAACAGTAAAACAGAGAGCAAAATATTCAAAAGAAGTGCACCATTAGAGAAGGCTGCAGGAGCTTACAATTGTGGCATGCGAGGAATCCGAGGCTCCTTTGGTTTGGATGGACCACCTTGGCGCATTGTTTGCTTGAAGTATTCAGATTCTGAGTAACTGAGTAAAGGAAAAAGATATAAGAAAATAACTACATCCTAAACCACTCAGATGCATCAAAACGGCAAGAGAGGAAAATATCAGTACTTGCGCTTCCGCTCTCTTTTTGGAGGTTCTATCCAGTTGTCACTGACAATTTTCTTGAAATCAACCTTGTTCTCATCCTTCATTAAGAAATCATGATTAAATAGAGTCAGAAAAGTCCTGGACATAATTCAAGAAATTGGAAACAACAATGTCCCCCGCTTCAATCATAAGAAAAGGAGATGAATGTACCTTGTCGTCATCAAAATCATACAATTCAGCAGCTGTCACAATGAACAAAGACACGCTCAGCAGTTTAGCAGAAATGAAGTTAATGAAACCAACAAAAACAAATTTCTCTATGAACATACTGTCATCCATCTTGAATTTTATGGCATCCTCGGTGAACTTCTTCATCTTAGCATCAAGCTCAGCTGTTGCTTCTTCTCCTTTAGCAATGATTCTGTCGATGTCCTCATCCGTAATTGTACTGTCCTTTGAGCTGAAAACCATTTCAGCACCAAACCTCACCATTTGAAGCAGCTCATCTTTGTTGACAGCTGCATGTGAAATCCACACTTTTCCCAGTCAATATAAAGCTTAAAAAGGTTCTGATTACAAATACTTACAACAGTAATGTCTCTCACCTTTCTGCTCTGCCAGCCTTCCTTGTTGAATGACCAGAGCATCAAGTGCAAGCTTCTTGTAAGCTCTTTCAATGACCTTTTCTTCAATGGTATACTGTTTCATAATCAAATGCAATCAGAAACAACCCATACAAAATTGAAGAGTATGACTGCATCACTAGATTGAATATCACCTCTGTGCAGAACCTAAACACTTGAACTTCTTTCTTTTGACCTATCCTATGAGCACGGTCTTGTGCTTGCAAATCAACTTGTGGATTCCTGCAGTACAACCATATACATTAACAACAAACAGAAAGGAAAGTAACCGCCAGGTTTGAATGACAAAAAGACCCACCAGTCACTGTCGTACAAAATGACAACATCTGCGGTAGCGAGATTAATACCAAGCCCTCCAGCTCTTGTTGACAGCAAGAACACAAATTTCTCACTTCCAGGTTTGTTGAAGGCTTCAATGGAAGCATCACGATCTTCACCACCAGTATTACCATCAATTCGGCAATACAGATGCCCACGATACATTAAATAGTCCTCGAGAATGTCGAGCAACCTTGTCATCTGCACATCAAAGGCATAACCAGCATGAAATCAAATTACAGAGTCTTCAGAATAATGAACATGATAACCACTGACTTGTCGAGGACAGTTATAGGAAAACGAAGGAGATGATAAAAAATAGTGAGAATCCTAATACTAGTATTTGCAACTGACCTGAGAGAATATCAGAACTCTTGAATCTCTCTCTTTTAGCTTAGGAAGTAACTTGTCCAGGAGAACCATTTTGCCTAAACAAAGCAAACAGCAGTTAAATAGCCAACTTATGACCACACAAGATGACAAGAATGATAATTATATACCGATACTGATTAGGTGAAACTCACCTGCATTTTCTACAAGGTGATCCCCAGTGGTGTAAGGGGGGCCTGGTTCAGCACCCTGGAAAAGATATGGATGATTACAACATTTACGCAGCTGCATGGCTATGTTCAGAAGACGTTTACGTTCTCCACCAGCATTAACAACTTCTAGATCTTTCTGTAGTAACGCTTTATAGTATTGCTTCTGCATCTGGGACATGCCTACTTTCAATATCGTCTCCTTCTTAGGAGGTAGACCTTTCTCAACATCAGACTTCAATCTTCTAAGAAGAAAAGGGCGAAGGACCTTAAGAGAGAGCAGAGAACAAAGTTAGATAGATGGACAGATTTAGTAGACAGCATTAAATGGACATGTGCATACCTTGTGCAGTTGCTGCACAACCTCCTGCTGGTCATTCTCACCGGATATTTGGAACCACTCATCAAATGTTTCGGCTGAGCTAAAAATCTCTGGAAGTAAGAAGTTGAGTAGAGCCCAGAGTTCATGAAGATTGTTCTGTATTAAGAATATAGTCATAAAATTCAATTAGCAGAGGATTATAATTACATAAAAACAACTAAAAACAAGAGAGAAAAAGGTGCTTGCTAGGCTATATGTTTGATTTTACACAGAAATCAATATAGCTGCATAGCAATCATCATAATCTATAGCTGCATAACCAAACATGGTTTCAGGGACGTTACTGCACACCTGAAGAGGAGTCCCAGTGATGAGCAACCGGTAATTGGTATTGTAGAGTCTCATTGTCTTTGAAAGAAGAGAATTCTCATTCTTTATCCGATGAGCTTCATCAATAATTATGTAGCGCCAGCTGAAGCGCCGCAGAGCAGCCTTCTCTTTAATGGCCATTTCAAAGCTTGTGACACATATATCAAACTTACCAGCAACAAGTAAATCCTCTCGGATATGCCTCTGCATAAATAATTAAAACACGTTAAACTGTTTAAACCTTGATGCAGCAAATGCATGTCCTCAGAAGATTGAGTTGATAAATTATGGCTTGACTTACTCTTTCTTCAGGATTTCCAAGGAACTTGATAGGACGTAACACTGGACAAAACCGACGAATTTCATTCATCCAATTTCCAAGTGTAGATTTGGGGGCAACTACCATATGAGGACCCGTGATCCCTCTAAACTCATGCAGGTACCCCAATAATGAGATGGTTTGTAAAGTCTTTCCAAGTCCCTAGAAAGATATGGCAACATCAGCATTGGTAATGACAAGCATGAGTCAAACAGTACAACACCAACACAGTAGTGACCAGTTTGAAAGTCTGTCTTCGTGGCATACCATTTCATCTGCAAGGATTCCGTTTATGCCATTCTCATACAGCCTGATGAGCCAATTTAACCCAGCCAGTTGATAATCCCTCATCTTCCCTTGAATACCTAGAGAAACGAATTACCAAGAGAATTATTCTATTGGCATACAGTCACGTTAAATCATCAAACTGCTCAAAACAAAAATGGAACCAAACTGATTGCAGGAAGGTGTTTATTTAGTATTGGCATTGCCACAGACAGTGTTTCTTTGATAAGTAGCACATGCTTACCACACAGCTTTTGCACAAACAAAATATAGAAGGAACAGGAAATGCACTTACAAGAAGGTTGAGTCACCAGCCTCGTATTTCCTGCCATTCCATCCTCTTCCTCCTTCAAGTACTCTTCATCTTCTTCTTCTTCAGTAATTTTTGAAGCATGGCGCCCTCTGGAAAAATATATCAGTCATGCAGGGCCCGTTAACTTTCATAACTAATTAGGACCAACTACGACCAAAGGACTCACGCATTTAGCTAGTAAGCATTTCTAAGTTCTAACATGATAAACAGAGTCACCGTAAGGCAATTCAAATGTTGCCTACATCAAATTATATATGAAGAAACGGACAAGTACAAGCAGCAACTTTACTGTCCAGATTCTGATGGAATTATGACGACCCAAAAGATCACCAATTCAGAAACTATCTAATCCATTTCAAAAAATATTAGCTGACAAAATGTAGGAGACTTGTGTATAATGGGCACCATACTTTCCCTTTCCCTTTGGTGCAGTATGATCAGGCTTGGCGAAGTGAGCAAATAACTCTGTTTGCTGTAGTAGGTAGTTCAAGCGGCCCTTACCCCTAGTATTCTGCAAGAGTCAGAGTGCACCAGAAAGATCAGTAAACCTGCACACTGGTTTTCCAAAGAAATGCAGGAGTGCAGAAATCACGGCCAACTCGACATACCATCTCAGCATCTATGCTAGCATTTTGTGCATCCAAGATTTCCTGGATCTTTTCTTTCTTCAGCCGCTGCATCTCTTTCAGCCTAGCCTTTTCGCGCTTGCTAATTTGATTGTTGCTCATATCCTGTGTGAGATTGAACATCACAACATTAGGCGCAAACCAAGAAGAAGCACAACACCTTCACAGAAAACCCTACTCCTCCACTAGTTAGGCTGCCTACAGAACTTGAAGCGCAAATGAACAGATTCGCCGAGAACGAACAATACAGACAAACAAACATTTCCTCAATCAAAGCCGTCCGAACAGGAAAGCGAAAAAAATTGAACTATTCCGCTAACAAGACGCAATAGACTCACCTCTTCGGGCTCGTCAGTCTCCTCGGCGTTGTCATCATCGGCAGCTGCGCCGCCTCCGCCGGATTCGTCGTCTTCTGACTCGTCGGCACTGCGCGCCACCGCTTCGAGCTCCTCCTCGTCCTCCTCGTCGTTGATCTGGTCGTTGATTGGCTCCTCTTCGGACGAATTGGAGGCGTTGGACAGTGAATCGTCGTCCGACGACTGCTGCTTCGACGGTCTCGCCATTCGATTACTTCTCCCCCTGTTGAAAATCGCGACTCCGATGGATCGAGGGTTTACTCCGCGAGAGCTCTTTCAGCTTGTGGAAAAAGAGAGAGAATGAGAGAACGTTTCGGAAAACAAATACGAAAGTGAGAGCAAAAGCGAAGCGAGTCGTGATTCGTGAATTAGGGGAGCAGTGGAGGAATCTGTATATAAAGGGGAAGTTTCGGGCGGTTGGATCTGGGAAGGAATGATCCTACGGCGGTCAGTTGCGTTTCGGCCGGAAATGGGATTTCCCGCCTTTGGTGCATTTCCCGCCGATGTGAACCAATGGCCTACCACTAAACGACCTCAAAAGACGCTACCAAACAGGCTCAGCCGTCCTCAGAGAATGGTCCATGAAACCGTACCGTATCGACGATTCAATCACGAAATATCTATATTGGAGACTAAACTGGTAGATGGTATTTAACGGTCTAACGGTTGAACTACGGTTAAATCACGGTTTTATCATAAAATATCATACCGCTAGCTTTTCCGGTACGAATTCATGGACCATGCCACAGAGGCTAGAGACGTGGAGCCAGCGGTGAGTCCGGTTGATTACGGTCTACGGATCTCGTTTTCGTACCGATTCACGTTATATTTATACTAAGTTATGTCGAACATGTATTACGATAAACTTATTTTGCTAGTAATATAGTGCACTGAACATGATTCTTTATGCTTGTTCGTGGTTCTCATATAAAATTAACGAGTTTTACTTCGTCAATTTATACGTCAAAATTGACGAATTTGTCATAAACTATATCTCATCTTGATTGTTGGATCCAACAGTCATGCACATAGTCAGGGACGGAGCCAGAAATTTAGGTAAGAGGGGGGCCAATTAAATTTTTAGAGGTATCATAATATAATGTAAAAGAGAACTCATAATTAGTAGGTTAGAGTTCTTTAAAGTTATTGAAATAATTCAAAATACCATGTAAATTAAAATTTATTATGCTATTTTTTTACAACATAAATTATTAATGGAGAAAGAAAAAAATTTGCAAAAGAACTGCGAAATTTTGACATTATTAGGATAATAAGACACACAAAAATAACGAAATTTGCTACAAAAAAATTAGCCTTACGAAAATAGCTGAAAAGGACTTCAATTGTAGCAAAAATTAAATTAAGACAAAAAAAAATGAATCAAAATAAGAAATTTGTACGACTTGGAAATTTTAGAAAGTGAAATTTGAAATTGAAAATTTAGGGTAAAAGAGGAGATGGGGGAAATTTTGAGGACGAGAACAGATAAAATTGGAATTTTTTGGGTTTAAAATGAAAATTATATTGAATATCAGCAAAAATAACGAAATTTGCTACCAAAAAAAATTAACCTTAAGGAAAATAGCCGAAAAGGAGTTCAATTGTAGCAAAATTTTGAGAAAATTAAGACAAAAAATGAATCAAAATAAGAAACTTGTAAAATTTTGGGGAGTGAAAATTTTTAAATTGAAAATTTAGGGTAAAAGAGGAGATGGGGGAAATTTGAGGATGAGAAAATATAAAATTGAAATTTTTTAAGGTTAAAATGAGAATTATATTGAATATTAAAAAATATAAAAAAACATCTTTACCAACCTTCGAACCCTCAACCTAATGATTAAAGGAAAGAATGTCAAACCATTAAACTACATATCACATTTTGTCTTCATGTTGCATAATCAAATTGTAGAACTTTGGGGGGCCATGGCCCCTCCTACTAACAAGCTGGCTACGTCCCTACACATAGTAAAGGCATTGAAGTATTTTTGTGCCTGCATGTTTCATCTTATCATTCATTCCTATTTCTGTAAAACGATAGACTACAGTATGTAAATAATGGCTTTATAATCTTTCATGTTGTAGATAATTTTGTATGTGTGAGGCGAGAAAAAAAAATATTACATGGCGTGTAATCAAGACTAACTAACTTTTAAAACGGCTAACTAATAATCAAATTTTTTATAACGGCTAACTTGAAAATTGTGCGAGAGAAATAAATGAAACGACAAGTCGTGTGCCCACAAAAGGAGTATTTTATGCTTGTCGTGTTGAAATAAGAGGCCGAGGTTCGAACATTGCTAATGACAAAAATGAGAGAGGGTATCTTTATCAATTGAGTCATTACGGTACCAGGTGACATTCGGGGGGGGGGGGGGGGGGGGGGGATTACAAACAGTCTAATCAAGATCAACAAACTTTCAAATCGACTAAATAACAATCAAAATAATCAAATATTCACATCGGCTAGCACGTACAGTTGTATTTTATGCTTGTCGTGTTGAAATAAGAGACCGGTGTTCGAACATTGCTAATAACAAAAATGAGCGAGGGTATCTTTATCGATAGAGGCATTACGGTACCAGGTGACATTCGTGGGGGGGGGGGGGCATTATACAAACAGTCTAATCAAGATCAACTAACTTTCAAATCGACTAACTAACAATCAAATATTCACATATGCTAGCACGTACAACTATAAAAGGGAAGATAATGAAGATAACCGAAACAACAAATCGTGTAACACTAGCAAGAAATTGGTTTTTTGTTATGAAAAGGTAACTAATGTTCCGAGTTTTGCAAATGCCGAAATCGAATGTGGATTTCTCTCTTCATACACATGTTATACGAGCAAGTGACAACCACAAAGAACAAAGTTACGTAATGTATAATCAATACTACATAACTTTCAAAATATTAAAATATTTGTAGCAACATGCACGGTTTTAAAAATATATATTAAATAAAACAACAAATTGTTGATATACCAGTAGGGGGTAACTGGTACTTCCACTTGTCATTTCTCAATCCCAAACTGGGTTCATCGAGAGAGATAGTACTATAATCAACCATGAGATCAAGCACCACCCCAAAAACATGTACTCGGAAAGTAAATATTGGATGACCATGAGATTGAATATGGAGATGACTTATGATGGCATCGAATGGTCATTTCTTTTTAAAACGATGAAGGAAGTGGCTTTCATCCCCAATTTGTCTAGGTGGTTAATGAATGTGTTACGATAATCCCCTTCTCAATCCTTGTAAATGGTAAACCGTTTGAGTAATTATGCCTTCCAAGGGATTACGTCGGGGAGATCCTCTCTCCCCTCCTTTTTTATACTTGTAAGGAAGTTTTTATTTTTTATTTTTATGATCATGTAGGCAACTGCCATGGTTGCTTATAGGAGGTTTGTATTCAAGTTGCCCGTCCTATGGTTTCTCATATATTATTTGTTGATGACTCATTTATTTTCCTGTCAGCCTCTCCAAAATCTTGCTTAACCCCTGTATAACTGTTGCATACCTATGAACGATTAAGCAGACAGTGCCACAACGGGTCAATCTTGCTAAGTCTTTTGTGCTCCGTCTTTATAAGTTGACGGTCTGTATGTAGTGCAGTTAGAAAATTTACATAGAAATTTACTGATGGTGCTAACCCTATATTTATAAATGGCTTGCCATAGGAGAATCTAACGTCCATAGTTTAGATGCTAAAGGAATACCGTGAAGTCTACCGTTTGGAAATAGTTCCAAAAGTTGATAGAACAAAACCGAACGAGCATCACAAAAGAATATCCAAATCACTTCACACAGAGTCTCTCAGTCTACCACGTTACCCAACAACGACGTCAATCTATAAACATGATGTACAAAAACGAGCATTTTTTGGTTTTTTTCTCATGGCATATTAATTTCCCACACGCCATTTTTTGGCTTACATATCTACTTCCACTCCCTCAAGGAAACAAATCAACAACCGCCTTCTTCCATTCCATGGGATGTCGCCTGGAAAGTATCGAGAAGGTAAACAAGCAACAAAAAATTTCTCTATCAAGTATGTCTTCAATCCACGTAGTCGCCTGAACCAAACTCCCGTGATTGCTGTATTGGAAGCAACAGATAAATTGTCTAACGAATAACATGTTATCCGATGAAGATAATAAGTGATGTTAAGATAGTTGTAAATTATATTCGTTGTGAGTTAGCAGGCTATGTGAGTTATGTGAGATTCGAGTCGGTTTTAAATGAGTCGAATAGACGAATGACAATGCATTGCAATGGAAAATATCATTATTTTGATTTAGAAAAAGTGATTGCAAAAAGGATGATTTATATAGGCCGATTATCTATCGGATTTGACTAATCCAGCTCCAGCCCAATTAGCCTCTTCTACACGGGTTTACCGACTTATAAAATAATTGTAAAAAAGATACACAAATTTCACGATATTTAAGTGAAGTGGGGATTCTGATACGGCTTATTTTCATTGTTAGGTGAACTTTAGGCCGAAATGGAACGCCATTGTATTTTTATTTGATGATCGAGGCAACAGAGTTGCAAATGTTAATAAAATGTATGATCTAGTTATCTCGTTTTATAAGAAGTTATTGGGTAGGTGAATCACGATGTATTGATTGTGTATGAGGGATAGATTAAGGCAGTGTTCTTCTGCTTTCAGGGTGAACAGAGTCTAGACTTTGATGGTTACCCAACTTTTTTCCCAAGCTACTTGGAATTTTTTTTGGTTCCGAATTGATTACAATATGATATTGAGCATCGCTTCTAGGAGACTTCCTTATCACGCGAGGTAAATTATGTAATTTTAGCCCTTATTCCAAACTTTCAAACTCTGGAGATATGACAAACTTTTCACCCTATTTCATGCTTGTGTTGAAAGACTTTTATGAAATCTATTGCGAGTTTAGTGTGGAAAGAAAGATGTAAAAAATATACGCAGAATCTAAGTAGAGATTATGATAATTTTTTTTTACTCTCACAAAGATTGAGATAATGTTGTCATGAATGAGTTAGTTGCTAATTTTTTTATTTTCTAGTATGATACAACTTTGTTGTTTTTAGTTAGTTTAGACTAGTAATAATATTCTTGTACTCAATTGGTAGTAACGTTGCGTTCTTTCTAATTATAATACACAACCCCACATTCACTAAAAATATTTACAAATTCTTACAAGTTAATAATTTAAACCCAATAAGGTTAGGAAATTAAAATATAAATTATATACAACAAATTATAGAAAACAAAATTCCAATCTCACCCCTAATTTAATTGAACATAACAAGAAAACATTTACCACCAATAGAAGAATTCAATTCAAACGTTTTTTGGCTCTCTATTTTGCAGAGACAAGCCACCGAATCACACGCAGCAGTTTATCCGCAAAAATGAAAAACCATAATTGAGATTGCTGTCCCACCCCAAACAACGAAATACCGAAACTGCCACCAGGCAATCTCCAAAATACCGACAGGTCGGCAAACTGGAATTCGGTTGGAAATCCCCAGAAGAAGGGGCAATATAGGGAATCAACAAAAACTTATTATTATTTATTTGTTTTATTCTAACTTATTCTTCCTGGCTTGCTTGCCCCATCAAATCCAATCTCAATCACTACGATGGGAACTTCTCCTTAGCTTCATCCGTAATATAAAGAGTACCAATCCGAGTTCTCCGCCGCCTCATCGATCGGAGTTTCTATCCCTCGCCGGCGGACGGTAACCCTAACTCAGGTCGAGGAACTGCTCTGCGGTTCATCGTCAGAGATTGACCCGGCTTCTCGTTCGGGTTGACTGGAAGAGAATGGAGGGAAGGAGATGGTTCTTGGTGGGAATGTTGATAGCTCTACTTGCGTCTACGTCTTGTGGCAGAGGTAATGGTGGATGGTGAACGGTTTTTAGGTTACAGAATTTTGTTTTCCCAGTTTGTTACTGGTAGGTGGTGAGCAAACCAACACAAGTTCTTGAGCTTCCAGAACTCTTGTTGGGGGGTTTCTCAAGTTGGCGTGGAGTTGGGGAGGATTAATGAGACTTGGAATTTGAATTTGGGTTGTAGTTGGGTTGAAGAGTTCTGATATCCTATGGCAAGGATTCCTATGATTTTGACTGATTGTTGTTTATGCTATTCGGGTTTTGCCAGAGCTGAAGATAAGGGAATACGGTGACGAGGGGGATGATCGGTCTCTGGTTTACAATCACACCCTCGCCATGACGTTGGTGGAGTATGCTTCCGCAGTACGTTGAAACGATTGATTGGAGTTTCTGGGTTTCGCTGCAATTGCTAGAGCGTTGATGGCTTCATTATGTTATCCTGTTCTTTATTGAGAGTATGCTAAGTTGTATTGAGATTGACTGGTGTTCGTTTATGTAGGTGTATGTCTCAGACATGACTGAGCTATTTACTTGGACATGTTCAAGATGCAATGGCTTAACAAAGGTAAAGTTTGATTTCTCATGTATCTGGATTCTCTTGCCAATGGTATTGGCTAACACCTTGTTGATTGGAACCAACCAGGGCTTTCAGGTTGTGGAGCTGATCTTTGATGTGCAACACTGCTTAGAGGTGTGCAAGTCATGTTCCTTTGTTGTTCACGAAATTCTTTTGAAGCACAAACAATTGTGTTGATTTGTCCTGATGGTGATGGCTGACTCTTTATGTGGCTGTTCTCTTCAAGGCATATGTTGGAGTTGCTCAGGATCTTAATGCTATAGTTATTGCCTTCCGAGGAACTCAGGAACACAGGCATGTATCTTCTATTTGCTATTATTTATACTAGGGTTCATAGTATTTGTCTATTTCTTGCTGCAATGGCATCTTCAAAGCTTGTCGTTCAGCTAATATGTAGTGAAGAAGACTCATTTATGTCAGCACGAAAAGTATTATTGCAGTGAGCAGTATAATTGAATTTGATTTTGATGTATATTTATCTTAAGAGGGGAGTTTATGTTTATGGTCTTTTATGTGAATTAATGCCCCTACCTTACTGTTGCTTATGTCCTGTGATCTGCCTGATGCCATGTTTGTGCAGATTGGTTATCTGTTATTGTTTCTTTCTGTAAATTGCTCGATGAGCAATTATGCGTGTTGTTTAATTTTGTTGGCGAACTGGATCCTTGCAGCTTACAGAATTGGATTTCAGACCTCTTCTGGAAACAGCTTGATTTAGATTATCCTGGAATGCCTGATGCAATGGTGTGTGGCCTAAACTGATCAATTTTCTTGAATTAGTTTTATGACAGTAGCTGCTATTTTCTGTTTCTTAAATTCTTTTTTGGAATCCAGGTGCATCATGGATTCTATTCTGCATATCACAACACAACTATACGGTCTGGAATTCTGAATGCCATTAAAAAAGCAAAGCAGTATTATGGGAAGCTTGACATCATGTTGACCGGACATTCTATGGGTGGAGCCATTGCTGCGTTCTGTGCACTTGATCTAGTAGTAAGTAGTTATTTACCCACCTTTTTACTGTAGGGATGTTGGTTAGGTATGTCCAAGGCTCACCTAAAGAACACAACTTGTAAATTTGTAGGTCAACTGTGAAGCCGAGAATGTCCAGTTGATGACGTTTGGACAACCCCGTGTAGGCAATGCAGTTTTTGCAACCTACTACAAGGAGCTTGTGCCTAATGCAATCAGAGTCGTAAATGAACGTGATATTGTACCTCATTTGCCCCCATATTATTCTATATTCCCAACGAAGACATATCATCACTTTTCCAGAGAGGTAATCATAGTTGATGTAATGCTATACTCTCTATTTTCCATGTAGCGACAGCAAGGGTAAGCACCATGTCTTTCATGTGCAGGTGTGGCTTTATAACCTTGGATTGGGAAGTCTTGTTTATACAGTCGAGAAGGTTTGTGATGACTCCGGTGAAGATCCTACTTGTAGCAGGTAGCCCTGCCTCAAAAGATAACTTTTCTGTGAACCTACTTACAATCCGGATCTCGACCAGCTGCACCTTGCAATTGCTGACTTGTTTCACTCATGTTTTATTTGCAGATCGGTGTTGTGGACTAGTATTTCAGACCATTTGTCATACTATGGCGTCGATTTGTGTGGAGACGTAGACTTGTCTTGTGGAATTGTGATGGCGCCTGCTCTGAAGGAGTTTAGCACGACAGATCTGAAGGGCAACTTCGTACTTTCAAGAGTTCCTGCCTCCTCTATACTGAAGATGAAAACCGAAGAAACCGTGACACACAATCATTCCTTGTAGCTTTCGACAATGGCCGATTGTGGTTTCTCTCCTGAGGTAAGTGTAGTGTTTAGTCGCTTGTTACTTGGTGAAGAAGGAATTTGTAATCTTGTATATAGATTATGCTTATAGTAGGAAAATACATGTCCCAGTCCCACTCTCCCTAGCCAAAACTTGGGAAATAGCCTTAGTAATTAGTAATTACATATATGTGTACAGTTTGTAATCTGACGTTATTAAACCCTATTCTCTTCATTGGTCTATTCGATGTGAATTTGCATAAGCTGTAATCACTTACTGTTCAAACCTCTAATCCATTCCTTCATTCGAAATATTCAACAATGAACCGTGCTAACTGTAGATCTTAAGAAGCGGAACGAGATATTTCGTGCTTATCGACTTCTGATTGAAAATGTCGATTGTTGCCTGCATTCGAGCTGTAGAATCAAATAATTCAGGAGTCAAAAGCGTCCTGCATTCGAGCTGTAGAATCAAATAATTCAGGAGTCAAAAGCGTCTTAAGAATCATCGACGTAAATGGTGAAATACTCTAGTGCATAGTTAACTAGTTAAGGGTTTGATAAGGTGGCCATAGGAAACAAAGATCAATCAAGCACATTGGCACTGGGAAAAAAAATGATATGATCGTCATTGGAAATTGAATTCATCAATCAATTCAACATAAACAATCAAAATTGACGAGTTCCTTTTCACATTGCCTTGCCAATGCTTTCTTCCGCCGCCGACGAACTTTCCAACCCCACTTACCGATCATCACAATTCTGCAGCTGCTGCTTCGTGTCCGGAGGTTCAGACTCAACGACGACAACGGCGGCGGACGCACCTTCCCCTGCTATCTCTCCCCCATCTTCAGCCCGAACGCTGCATTTGTTCATCGAATCCTCCCTCCCGGCCGACTCGGTGCGCGGTGATCCGTACTCCGAGTCGCCGCCATCCGATTTCGATTCGCTAACGATGGCGGCGATGCGCTCCACGTCCTTGTGCGACGAGAAGAACTGGGGTGATTCTCGAGATATCAACTTCCCCGGCTCTGCTTCTTCCTTCGCCTCCACCGCCACCGCATTGACGTTACTATCGTTTGATGAGTTTTCTTTCGGCGGCGGCATTGGCATTTCCTCTTCTCGGCTGTCTCCTGCACCACTGCTCTTCTTGATGGACGATTTCTTCCGGGCCACGGCGGTGGGAGCGCTGGCCGTGGCGACGGCGTGTTTCGATTTCCCGCAACCCATCTGGTACCCCGGGCGGCGGGATTGCAGCAAAAGCTCTCTTCTTCCGATCTTAATTGTTGATTTTGGTTTTAAACAAAGGAGATCATGGTTGTTAATCGCGATTATGGGCACACGGCGATTGGATTAGTTTTTAGTTTTTTCAATTGATTTAGATTTTTTGGACAATAGGAGCGGTTTTTTCTGTTACCTTTTTCGGAGGATGTGTAGGGGTGTTCAAAAATGGTTACCATGGTTATAACCAAATTAAATAAGGCTAAATTCTATTAATCATGAAATACAATATCATAATCAAACCGTCCAAACTAATACAACAACCAAATTAACCAAAGTAAAGTTTAATCGGTTTGGTTAATTGGTTAGCCAGATTAACCAATATAAAATCACATTATTATTGACGATGAAAATTTTTCGGTTAATGCAACAATTCACAATTTATATAATGAATGAAACATAACAATCAACACGTAGTTATAGTTGGACCCTTAACAAAAATACATGCAACTAAGACAATTATCTTACGATTAGTATAGAAGTATTCACCTAACAAAAAATTATGACAATGGTATGGGTTAATGAATTGTTGTGTTTGTGTAAATTGACTTAGTCTCTTAGCAATTATCATAGTCTGGAACTGACCTTCCTTTCAAGTTTTCATTCATCATAATGTATGAAATTTATCTAAATTAGGTGTGCATATGTTGTGGTCTAGACTTTACATATACAAATATACACTATATGAGCAATATTGAGCTTTATATTTTATGAGTCTAAAAGGGATGAACGTTAACTCTTGAGTGGTTATGCAAAGTATTATGTGTATATCATATATGTTAGATATATGACTAATTACTTAACTGGTTAATTTGGTTTGACTGGTTAGGAGTGTCTGAAACCAAACCAAACCACCTAAACCAAACAAGCTAAAAACTTTAACCAAACCAATTATCCAAATTAACCAAACCAAATTATCCAAATAGTACCAGTTAAAACGGTTACCATGGTAACCAAACCGTTTGAACACCCCTACCTGTGTGAGTGTGTGTTTTTTTAAATTTTGGCCCAAATCACGGTGGGCTATTTCTAGGCATTTATTGCTGGATTTCTGGAAATATATTCGCAACGGTAAAGAATAAAATAAATATTTTATTTCCAATAAAAAGAAATTTATTATATTATTCCAATTACAAGTGCATTATAGTTATAGAGAACACAATCATAAATATTTTACTAGTTTTTTGCTCGTCCGATGGACGAGATGTTTTTTTGTTGTTGTCATTTTGTCAATAATGGTAGCATACTATTTCTCTTTATATATGCTTATTAAGATTATTTATTATTCAAACATTATCTAATAGGAGGGTCGCTATATTTATTTTGAGTGTGAATAGGAGCAATTATCGTGTAAACAATAAGAGTCACTACTTTATCACCATTTTGAAGTCCACATTCACAATCATCTGCTCTTTGATTAACAACATTTTTCAACTTCATATGTTGTACATAACTTTTCATTGATTTTGCCTTTCGTGCATCCATATGTTTGGGGTAAATACTGTTAGTGCCTAACATATCTTTCAGTCTCGTGATACGAATTCACGCAAATAATTCAAATCATCATATGTAATGATCGAATGGGGGCTATTTCAGTATATTTCTCCAATTGATAAATGTATAGCTGAACAAACTTAGTAGTTGAACATTTTGGTGGTAGTATACTGCATAATCGATGGTAAACCGTTCTCTAACAACAGAAGAGAAGAATAGCAGAACTGGTCTTGCTCTCGAGCTGAGCAGGACTCTTTTCCTACAAGAAGTATGCTGGAGACAGAAGTCGAGAGAAGTGTGGATCAAGCTGGGGGAAAAAATACAGGGTATTTCCACAAAGTTGCAAATTACAGAAGAAGGGTAAATTACATTGGTAGAATAAGAATAAATGGACAGTTTCTTGAGAACAAAGATGCGATCGCTATGGGGATAGTTGGTTATTATCAGGGTCAGTTTAGAGAAAGTATTCAACATCGGCCTTTTCCCAAATATCTGTCTACATCAGATCTAGGGGAGAGAGAGCGCTACATGCTGGATAAGCCCTTCTCTGAACAGGAAATTTGGCTCGGACTCCGCGATAACGATGGAAGTAAAGCTACTGGCCCCGATGGCTTCACGATAGAATTTTTAAAAAAATGCTGGCAGTGGTTGAAGGGAGATGTCTTGAAAGCATTCCAAGATTTTTATGAGTCTGGCTTCCTTCCTAACTGGGTCACCCACTCCTTCGTATGTCTAGCCCCGAAGAAAGACACGATAGAAGACATAAAAGACCTGAGGCCTATCAATCTCATCGGTAGCATCAACAAGCTTATCAGCAAGGTTCTGTCAAGGAGACTAAGCTTGGTGCTTCCGAATCTGATTTCCCAACAACAACAAGCCTCAGTTAAGGGGAGGCAGATATCCGAGGCTGGTCTCATCGCTAATGAGCTCGTCGATAGTAGGAGGAAGAGCAGGAAGCCGGGGCTTATGTTTAAAATTGATATTGAGAAGGCCTTTGACAACGTAAATTGGGAATGTCTGTTCAAGATCTTAACAGTCTTAGGCTTCTCAGATAAATGGAAGAAATGGGTGAAAGGAACTATGTGCTCTCTGATAATTTCAGTGCTTGTGATTGGCGAAGCCAAAGGTTTTTTCAAGGCGTCTAAGGGTCTCCGCCAAGGAGATCCACTTTCTCCAGGTTTGTTCGTTATGATGATGGAAGTTCTTTCGTGGATGCTGAATTCTGCAAGAGAAGCCGGGAAATTTGAAGGTTTCTACATTAAATAAGAAACCAAAGAGGGAGAGGTTACATATCTTTTATTTGCAGCCGACACTCTTATTTTTTGCGAGGCGGATCACAATCAGGTACTTAATATCCTTGCCACTATAGCTTGTTTTCAAACAGTGACGGGATTGAGAATTAATCTTGATAAATCAGTAATGTACACGGTTGGGGATGTGGCAGAGCCCAGTTTCTATGCTGCCATTTTTGGGTGTAAGTGGAGTAGAGATCCCCTCAAATACTTAGGCTTCCCCCTTGGTTCTAAACCTAATGATCCTGCCATATGGGACCCGATTCTTGGAAAATTTCAGAGTAAACTGAATGGGTGGGGGAGCAGACACCTCTCTACTGGAGCTAGGCTGGTTTTGTGCAAAGCGGTACTCTCAAGTACGCCCACTTACCTATTTTCTCTATTCAAAGCGCCAACTATAGTTATTAAGGAGATAAGAGAGAATTCAGAAAAGATTCTTATGGAATGGTGGGAGGGATCTGAACAAAATGGCTTTGGTAGATTGGAAGGTTTGCAAAACTGAGAAGAAGAAAGGAGGCTTGGGCATTCATGATCTCAAAGCATTCAACTACGCTATGTTGACAAAATGGCTGTGGAGATTTGGGATGGAGAGGGACAGTTGGTGGCGGAAGCTAATAAATATGAAATATCACAATCCATCCTCATCCTGGCAGTCTATCCGACCTAGAGGAGGGTTCTCACAGTCGGTTTGGGCCAATATATCAAAATAAAACGATTTATTTTGGAAGTTCGTTAGCTTGGATCCGGGGAATGGTACTATGATTTCCTTTTGGCACGATTGTTGGATCCCGGGAAAGGTCATATCCTCTGTGTTTCCTCGTGTCGCGGCAGCTGCCTCTGACCCTAACGCAAAGCTCTCCGACGTGGCATCTATTAACGGTAATTCGGTGAGTTGGGTTCTTAATTTGAAATTTCCTTTGAGAGGGGGCGCGGAGAGGGAAAGATGTGAGCTTTTAAATTTGCTTGAGTCCTTAGAAGGTTCTGTTAAGGGATTTAGTCCTTGCAGACTTGTTTGGAATCCTAACCCAAATGCCAAGTTTTCTGTGAGTGCAATGTACAGGAGTTTAGTGAAAGAAGAGTTACATGGAGTCCAAAACTTCCCAGCTAAGCAAATCTGGAAATCGACAATACCGAGCAAAGTGTGTTCCTTCATATGGCTAGTTTATCTAAACAAGGTCCTTACATTGGATAACTTGAAGAAAAGAGGGTGGACGTTGGTAAACAGGTGAGGCATTTGCTGCTGCAATGAAGAATCATCCTTCCACATGTTTGTCGAATGTGATTTCGTGAAAGAAGTGTGGAGAAACATTAACCGATACAGCCCCAGTTTGTCCCCTCAAGGCTCTGACATTGTGATGATTATTAGGCAAAGTTCACACGACAAACCAACCAACATTGGTGAATGTCTCAAAGATTGTATCGTGCACGCAGTGTGGTGGTTTGTGTGGCTGGAAAGGAATCAAAGATTGTTCGAAGAGAAGACCTTAACGGCCGATGTTGTGTCCAGGAGAGCTGTTCAGAACTGTATGGAGTGGTTAGTTGCTCAAGGCAAGGTCGAGAAAGCAGATGGATAGAGCTGGCTATGGATATATGAGGATGGGAGGGGTTAGCTCTCTGCGTTTGGAATGAGCTTTTGCAGTGTGTTTATTGCTTTGGCTGTTGTTTCTGAGGTTCCCTTCTGGTCTCTACAGTGGGTACAGTGGGTTGTGGGGTTGCTTCCCGGATATGGGCCTCTGTTATTCTTCTTTCTTGGCGAATCCGGCTTTGGCATGTAAATCTGCTTTGGATTGGGTTGTTGCACACAACAAGGTGGACAAAATCTGCAGCAGACAGTGGCTCGGTGTGTAGTTCCGAAGGATCTGATTCAGGTGTGGCTTGAGAGGAACTGTTGCTGCTGGTTGTTGAGCGGCCGGACAGAGAGGCTGTTGCTGAGCGGGCGCTTTCTTTGCCCCAGTTTTTGGGCCGATGTCTTTTATCCGCTAAGCGAGTTTCGTAGCGTGTTTGCTGTCTTCTGTGGTTTATTGTTTTCTGGTTGCAGGGACTTCTTGGTTTGCCCAGCAATCTTTTGTTTTCTTTTCCTTTTTTGGTTTCCCTTGGTCTCGCTAGAGTTCTATGCTCGGGTTGCACTGCTTGTGCTCCTGTTCTATTTTCTGCTTTTCATTTGTTTCTTTGTGAGCTGGGACTTGCACTCTTTCTCATCTCTTTTCTTTTTTAATGCAATTATCACCATTATAAAAAATATATATATAACTAATGTCAAAAGATACAATTGTTGTGTGTAGTTCTTTTTTCATGATGTACTTATGTATTTTGAAATAAAATCAGCACGGCACTAACATGTATTTGAATGAGGTCTAAGAGTAAAAAATTCACATTTATGGTAAATAACCACAGAGAAAATAAACGTGGTTTAGATCAATGAAAGGGAGAGACTACTGCATATCATGAGCATGTAATTAAGGTGGTGTATCATAGGGGTGGCAGTTCGGTTATTTTGGTTATAACCGGTAACTGATCGGCCGATAATCGGTTAACCGAAATAACTACCCCCTCTACCAAAAACCGACCGAAATAGGTTTCGGTTTCTTGGTATCTCGGTTATCGGTTAACCGAACCACTTTTAAGACCAAAAACCATTTTGTCTAGCCTCCAATAACCGACCGAAGTTCGGTTACTTCGGTTATCGGTTAGTGGATAACCGACCGATTATCAATTTAACCGGCCGGTTAACCGGTAACCGAACGGCCACCCCTAAACTATATCATGACTATATTCCTCCTTATAGTTTACTCCCCAGCATCATTACAATTACAAAAAATCAAGCTTTATCTTTGCATCGAACAACTTACGTGTATTAATTGATAGCTAGAAACCGTGACACACAACATAGATAGGTATGAAGAAGGAATTTAGGAACGAAAGCGACTTGAGTGAAGTCCAAATGCATATGTATGTGAAAAGGTGGTGAACTAAAATGTTCTAATCATTCACTCGCCAATAATGAAGAATAAGCAAAATGCGGAAGATGTTTTTACGAATGACAGAGCTTGAGTAGAGCCGGCATATAAATGTATGCAAAAAGAAGTTATGCTTTTGGGAGAAAAAAAGGCGGAAAAGAAACGGGAAATTTTCAAACAGCGCTGACTTGAGCGAAGTTGAAATGCAAAAAGATAACCGAAGCCCACTTCAAAAAGTTTCGAAAGATAAAAGGTAATTGTTGTGAAACTTGTCTGAAACACTTTATTTGCATAACCGTAAATTAAACACAATTGCATAACCACTTCTACATTTATTTTAACATACTATTTCGTTTGAACTTGGATTTCATATGTGTTTACATAAAAAAATCAAATAAATATACTCTAAATTGACATTTACAATGATATTTTTTTGGAAAAGGTACGTAGGTATATTTAAGTTATTTTATAGTGTAGTAATTATCGTATATTATGATGGCTCATGACTGAACTATGTATATATATTTTAATAATTTTATGGTGTAGAAACATGTTACATAAATACGTTACATTTTGAATGCATAATATTATCAGTAACAAATGTAATACATACAAAACTTGTTATATTCTAGTGTATAACTATATAAGTATATTAGTACACGTATTTATAGTAATACAGACAAAATATGATATTGTTGGTGTGATATAATACCAATTCCTTTGATACTTCATCATAAAATGAACGTGATATAAAAATTAACTAAGTGTTTTGGATTTGGATATCAATCGAATTTTGGCTTTTCATCTTATTTTTGTCATTTATGTTTTTTGTTCAAACATTTTAAATTTTTTATTGAATATTTATTAATAATTTTGTATGATGAATATAACATATAATAGATATTTTAGTTGCTTTAATTTATGTCAAATTTAAGGCAAATAATTTTTATAATTGAGTCAAAAGTCAACCGGTAAATCAAGAGATCTCATTGAAAGGTCATGTGTTAAATTGTTCCATGAGATGGGTAGTAATCTTGTTGTGATTGATAGCATCAAATAGAATTTATCTGATTGATTATCACTCTAAATGATATTAATTTGGGCCTTGCAGGTTATAGATTCGAGTCTCGATGATGATTATATATCTCTTTATTATTTTTAGCTTAGAGGAACATCAAAATTTTATAGAAGAACTAAAATGATAATGATGACATGGAAAATTGTGGAGTTTCTTGTATCCTACATGGCAAGAGATTGCTCTAAACCAGTCATAATATTAGTTATAGATCGAAAGACAGACAAGAATTCTAGGGTGTCAATACAGCACCGGTGCTGTCACTAAATCTGGCCGATTCAAACCATAAGGGTTTGATTTGAATTTCTTGAACCAGGTTCGATTAAGAGATAAATAAATAAACCATAATTTATTATAATTCATCATTCATGCTTCTTTCTTCTACTTCTCTCTCTCTTTGAGAAACCGGCGCTTCTGTGCATCCAAATCAGCACCACTATCCCCGCCGTTGTCGTTGGCCGCCCGCCATCATCACCGAGATCCTGATAAAATTTCTTGAATTAGTTCCCTACATTCATAAACTCATGATATTGCCTAATAATGCATAGTACACATTGACCACCATTATACTTTGACTCGCACGAAACTACACCACAATTAAACCCCAATTAGAGCCCAAGTTTTTAAACTCTAATCGGGTGCAGTATAGGGCAAGTATCTATATCTAGCGGTAAAACTTTGGTTTAGAGGTTTGCCAATTGAAATGAAAGGAAGCAAAAGTAATTTGGTTTGAAAACTCTTTTGTGGGAAAGTCACTCGGGTTTCGCTTCCCCCTAACCACTACCATGCTACGTGGGTTGGAAATATTGCATTGGGCACGTTAATCGTGAACCGCAGAGGAAAGCGTATGTGGTCGGAGACCACACTCTCAATTGCTAAACCGAGGTGAGGATGAAAGGTCGTGTCACTCAACCCTCTCGGTTTAGACAATCGGTAATCGACTTACTTCCTCACTCAACTCTAAGGTCAGACGGTTTAACCACGATTAATCGACTTGTTCAATTCAATATTGAGGGTTGCCCTAACTCAACCTACTTTAGGTGGCTTGGAAAGCGGAAGGAAAACTAACTCGATTGAGTCTTCCTTGAAGGGGGGGGGGGATTTTCCTCTCTAAACTAGGCTAAGTTGGCAAATTAGATTACTAGCACCTAAATGCACAAACTCAGGGGTGCTAAGCACAATTATGTACAATCCTTAGGATGCTAAGCACAACATATGCACAACCCTTAAGTTGCTAAGCACAAGCGTGCAAAATCATGGTGAATAATGCCTAAAGATTAAATTGAACAATACCCAATATCAATCATCCAAACCACATACAAGAAAACTACATGGTAGAGTTAGGGTTTCACTACACTCAAGTGAAAGGAGTACTCCATGGAAGAAGTGGGAAGAACAAAAGGGAAAAAGGTGGAAACCATCTTCCAAAATCTCCTTTGAAGCCAAGCCCTAACCTCTTCTTCTCTTTTGGTTATGTTTCTCTCACTAGATGCTGAAGAAGGTGTTTCTCTCACAAAAGTGGCTCTCCCCTCTCTCCTCCTTGCAGCTCAGCTTTTAAACCCGAGAAGAGCTGAGTTCACGGCCGTGAACCATCAAATGCGTCCGTGAACTCACGCCGTGCGCCAAAACGCTCTGCATCGCTCACGGCAGTTTACGGTCAACTGCTTGTATTCACGGTCTTAGTGACCGTGAATTCACCTTGCGTCAGTAACCTTCACATTGGCTCTGGACGCCTTGTGATTCACGGTCAAGCCTCCTTCTTCACGGTCTTGCACGAGCGTCCGTGAACTCACGCCGTGCGCCAAAACGCTCTGCATCGCTCACGGCAGTTTACGGTCAACTGCTTGTATTCACGGTCTTAGTGACCGTGAATTCACCTTGCGTTAGTAACCTTCACATTGGCTCTGGACGCCTTGTGATTCACGGTCAAGCCTCCTTCTTCACGGTCTTGCACGACCGTGAACTCCTTCCGTTAGCCGTGAACTAGCTCTGTTTCACCTCTTTTCCCGGTTTTCGATCCTTTTCGCCAATCATTCGACTCCGAGGCTGGTTTCATCTCCTGATACACACTCAAATACGAAGAACCTCGCGTAAAACCAACCTTTAATGGGCGAATTTGGCACAAAAATCTAAGTCAAACGGGGGCAAAACATGTGTAAATAGGCCCGAATCACTCCCCAACACTTAGACTTTTGCTTGTCCCCAAGCAAACCATTTCACGCACACGGTAATATTTCAACCTACACAAATGCTTTGGGGATAGATCAAAGGACACGAAGCAGGAATTCTCGATGTTTATTGACAATCAACACATGAACCGTTGCAAGCAATACCAACATCCACCACAAACGACATTCAAAGCCACCAAAACGGGCAAACGAAAAGTTCTCAACTTATTCATGGATAAATGAAAGTCTCAACAAAAACACTTATCGACCACAACCAACCATGCATGGAATTCAAGTCCGAGGAACAAATGGAAAGGAAACAAAGGTCCTCACCGAGGTATGATATGACATGCAAAGCAAGAATGAATCGCTCACTCTCAAGACCAGTGGGGTCGGGACCTTTTTGGTGAAAAAGATGTGCACAATCGTAACCTCTCAGTCCTATTGTCTCAATACCACGGCTGTAACCTCTAAATGCTAGAGTTCACGGGATGGTTGTCACCAGTAGCTCGTCCGGAGGTCTTAGACATGGGTTCAGATGACTGGCGATTGGCTTGGACATAAAGGCTTTTTGGGTGGTGACAATCATGACGTGAGGTTCTACATCTTCAACCTAAACCTGAAGGGTCTATGGTTTCGACTAAAACCCTTCTCTTCAATCAAAGGCCACTAGCAATGGCCAAAACCCTTATCTCTCCCTTCCAACTATCACACATCATGAACTACCTTGAAGCACTCTTCCTCGATGAACTCTTGCTAGTTATTTAAGGTTTGGTAGTGAAGGAGTTCTAAACAATGTGGGGTTTTTGATGGTTTGGGTGCCAAGAAACCCCTTCCAAGAGCATGTACTTTGTTTTTCGTGGCATCTCTACTTTATTTACCTCATTTTTGTTTCTCTTTTCTTTTCGTTTCTCTTTTTCTTTTTTCTTTTTGAGGGGGTATTAGAGAGTAAAAACAATGGCCACCTAAATATTTATCGACCAATGCTCTCTTTTTGAGGAACCAACTCCAACACTACACTCCATTTTGCACTCCTAGCAAGAACCACACATAAACCTCCTATGTAGAACCTCTACGGAAACTCAATGGTAAGAGCTCCGGGACACACGGGCGACTCATGTTTGGATACGAAGAAAGGATTGGGGGTCATTCTACTAACACCTTTAAGCTCACACGAATGAAGCTCCTAAATTGAGAACGACCCACGGAGTCACACGGCTCAAAGCGATTGACTAAGGGATGATGCATCTCGGGACAATAAACTTTTGGGGCGCGGACTAATCCTATGCCTCCATCATACTTGTTAGTGATAACTTGTGATGCTACACACCGTGGTAAGAGGGAACTATCACACCAAAAGAAACGAACGGCTCAAAGCTCACAGGCTACCTAGTTACCAAACCATCTATTCCAATTCACAAACACGATGCATGGCAATTGTAAAAAACAAGTGATCACGTCAAGACCTTCATTCATTTATGCACACTTTGAGAACTAAACTCTTGCCCTATCCTAATGAACTTCTAAGTCATCGTCATACGATATACTCAATCACATGCACAGTTCAAGATTAATGCCACAAACACGAGATTTTCCCACCATCCGGTCACTTTGAACATGCAAACGTTGCTTGGAGCCCTCAAATTTTTGAAATTTGGGCATACAAAAGGCTCCAAGCTACAGCTCACTGATGACTCGGTATTTGCACATGTTTTCCCCTTTGTTTCTTGATTGTTTGAGCTTGAATTATTGCGTCTTTTTCCTATTTTATGTTAGGTTGTGTTCCTTTGTCACATTTCAGGCCATAGCACATAAAGTG